AAAAAGGTCGGCTATAATAATTATTATATAATTAGCTAAATCTTTTATAAAAGCATCGCAATTATTAGGGATTTTAATATCCCTTTTTATAATAGCATTATATTTAATTACTAAATTAATTAAGCGAAGGCTATTATCCTTCTTTATAACTAGGAACTAAATATTTTAATAGGTATTATAATAAGGTTTTATTATTTATGCTAATCGCCTCGCCTTTAAAAGCTCGATTACCTTGGGTATTAAGGCCTTAGGTATAAGGATATTTTTTAATTATTAGGCCTTATAAAAAATAATTGGGATTTTATATAATAGCGCAATAATATCTTTAATTCTGCCGTTTTTTATAAAATCTTATATTAATACTCCTTCTTTTTTAAATAAAATCTCAAAAAGCACCCATTTCTTTTAATTAGTTATATAAGGATCAACTCTATTAAGCAATTTATCCAGGCGTTTAAAAGTAAATCTGCTTCCTTTTACTAAATTAGACCATTTAGGTATAATTTTAAATAAAGGCCTTTTCGCATCTTACGGTTCTATAATTTCTAAAGCTTTAGCTTATTTATGCTTTTTTTAATTTATATTTCCAGGAGGGACCTTACCTTTTTTAGGTTAATTATTAATAGGTATAACCTTTTTGGATTTAGGTTTATATATAATATTAATTTATCGCAAAATACGAGTTTTAATATCGACGGCCTTTTTATACTTATATATAAATAAAATATTTAAAAATATAGCCAATTCCTCGTCCAAAAACGACCTATAAATTATATTTCCTTAACCAAATTCGATATTATATAAAAATGCAGCATTTATAATTATCGGCGAAAAACCTATAATTTAATATATAATATTAAATAAAGGTTCCTTTAACAGGTTAACTTAGATTTATACGTAATCCTCGTTAGCTAAAAAAAGCACCTTTTTTTTTTAATTTAATTATATATAATACTCCTAATAACGTTAATTTCGCGTACGGTTAAAATACCTAGGTTTAGGAGTGTTTTAACGATTAAACTTATTTTAAATATAGGTCTAAATTTCGTTAGGTTATTAATACGCATTATAATTCTATTATTTCCGAAGGCTATATTTCCAATTATATAATTATTTTAAAAGCCTATATTTATACGGGTAATTTAAATAAAATTTATACTAAGGATTAATTTATTCCTTAATTTTATATTAAGGATTATATATATTAGAAATATAATATTACGATTAGCAATCTAAATTAATTATTCGATTATATTAATTATATATATATTAGCTCCTTTTTTAAAGCTTTGCACTTTTATATTACAACCTTTTATAGGAATAAAGTATTTTTTTACGTATTCAAAGTAGATAATAAAAATTTTAGCACCGGTGTCGATTAATTTAATAATTATATCCTTTATACCAATAGGTCTAATATAAACGGCCATTTTAGGTAGCGGATTAATAAAGTCTTTAGCATAAATAATCGTAATTTTAGGCAGGGAGTTTATATTATAGGTATCGATATAGCCACTATATAACTAAATATTGTTAATTTAGGGTTTATCGATAAAAAATGCTTATATTTATAATTCCTATCCGTTTTAATTAATAGGAAAATTAGCGTTAGTTATATTAATAAATATAATTAAAATAGCTTTCGAAAAAAGATAAAAATTTTAATTTAATAACGCCTTATTCGAAAAATATAGTATTTCCGTATAATTTTGGTTATTTATATGCTTTAGGATATTAAAAGCCTTAATTAAACCCTTTTTGCATTTAGGTACGAAATTTATTAGTTAAATATAAAAAATTAAAAGCGATTTATTTAGGAATTTTTTTATCTTTTCGTCGAAAAATTCCTACTTGATATTAAATCGTTTTTTAGGTTAGACTTAGGCTGTTTCGGCCTTTTATTAAAAAGTAATGCTAGGCTTTGCTATAGCATCTTAATTAACCGGTTTTTTAAATATTATTTTTGCTTAATTAGGTAAAAAAATCGCGCTTTTATTCGTGGCCGTTTGCGAAAAAAAAGTATCGCTATTTTATTTTAATATAATATATATAATATTAGCAATATTAGATTTATCCGGTTCGTAAATATAAGCGATTTTTTGCTTTTTTATAATATTATATATTTTTATTAAATATTTTTTTATTTATTTAATAATATTCGAATTTATTATAAAAAGAGCAAGGCCTCCGTTAAGTAACTCCTAATATCGGTATTTATTTATATTAATTTAGCTTAGGTATTTAATTAATTAATTAAAAGCCATAACCGAAATAACGTTAATTCGCGTATAAGTATTATTAGCGGTATTTTTTTTTTATAATTTTAATACTTTCGTTTATAGCCTTATTATTAATATTACGGCTAGCCTATTTTAGGAAATATTCGGCTTTTATTATATAATATATAATAAAAGCGTTTTTATAATTTAATATATAATAAGCGGCGGTAAAGCCGATATATTATTTAAATTTTTTATATTAATTAATTAAATTTTAAAACAATACTATATCCGAAAAGGAATTATCCGGATTTATATAAAAATACTCCTTAACTTTAAAATTATATAAAAAAAATTTATTATCGTAAAATATCCGGCGTTTAGCGTATTTTTAAATAAAATAGCTAAATTTATAAAAATAATAATTTATTAAAAAAAAGCTAGCTAATCGACTTTTTACCTTTTTTACCTAAGGCGACGGGATAAATTTATAAATCGGGAAGCGTTTATATAAATCTAAATTTATTATAAAAACGGTATTAATAATATTTGCCTATAGGTAAAATAATCCGTCGCCTTAATTAAGGACCTTTTTAGCTTTTTATAAAATATATAGCTAAAATTTAGTTATTTTTTTAATAAGCTGCTTTATGCTTTTATTATTTTTAAAAATATTATTAATAACCTTAGCTATATTAGTTTTAATATTATTTAAAAGCTTATTAATAATAATAGCGGAATTAGCTAAATTTTTAAAAATTCGAGTATAAATAGCTTAGGTATTATATTTATTAATTTTAATTTCCGTAATAGCCCATTTCTTAAATATATCTATAACCTCGGAATACCTGCGTTTAAAAAATTTATCGTACTCTTTAATAAAATATTATATTAAAATGCCTTTTATAATATTTTAATTAATATATTCTAATAATCCTTTAGTTTTATTAAAATCGGCAGGCTTTTATTTAGCTTTTCGGAGCTTTAGGATACAAGCTTTATAATTAAAATAATAGCTATATATTATTATAAGATTTTTAATAAAATTACCGCGTTTTAAATCGCGAAATCGGTTTTTTAAAATACGTTCCTATTTAATATTTCCGATATAAAAGGTTATTTTAATTTTAGCTTTAGCTTCGGACCAAGTTTTATATTTATTAATAGCTATTCGTATATAATTTTTTATAACCTTATTAACGCTTTAATAAAGCAGTTTTTTTAATATATTTTAATTAATTATAATATAGGAGTTAAATAGTTTTTTTACACTTTTAAAAAAAAATATTGCTTTTTTGCTATTAAATTTAAATTTAAAATATTTATTAACCCTAAAAGCAATTATATATATCCAAATAATCGGAATATAATAAGCAAAAATTTAAGCGAAAAAAAAGGGCTTAAGGGACAAGTTAACGTTAATTATATAATCGCTAGGTTCCAGGTATATTATTAATATTATTTAAAAAGGCAGCCGAAATAGTAGGTTTTTTATTAAAAAAATCGATATTAAAATTTAATATAGCGAATGCTTAATTTATTAAATTAGATAAAAATAGGAAATAAAATATAATTTAGGATTAATTAAAATAATTATAAAAATAATATTGCGGATTAAATTTAATTTTTTTTTATCGTATAATTATCGTATATTTAATATTAATATTTATAATTAATTTTTTATTTTATCCGGGGTTATATTTCCGGAATATATTTAAAGCAATTACCAAGATTGGTTATTTAATCTTATAATTCTTAAGCTTTTTTCGGTTATTATTAATTAATTTGCCAGCTTTTAATTTATATTTAGTAATTATATTTAGTTTTTTAGTAATATTTTTATTTAATAATAAAATTAAATATTAAATTAAAAATACCGGTTAAACCGTATAGTCTTAGGCCTTATTTTTAGAATCGGTAATTATCTAATTAATTTTCCTTTTCGTATTTAATAAATATATTTTATAAAATTTTAATAATATTTATATCTAATAAATATTAAGCTAAAATAATAAAATTTATCGTATATCGCATAAATAGGTCTAAAATACCGATATTTAAGCGATATAAATTAATTATATAATAACCGGATAACCTATATCCTTTTTTTTTTACGGATAAAAACAATTAAAATACTATATATTAAAAATGCCGTATTAATAGTAAAAATATTATCGATATATTAATAACCGAATAGCTACGGCTTAGTATAATTAGGCTCGTAATTATATTACGCCGATCCGGCTGTTCCGTATATATAAAAAAAGCAGGGGCTTTTTTTTTTACCGTAATTAGCTAGGTATCGATAGATTTTTAGCATTTCCATTTAGGCTAAAAAAGGCAAATTATCGGGGTTCTTTTTATCCTTACGAAAAAGTGTTTTTATTGTTTTAATTAAACTTATTTTACTAAAAATGCTTTATAAAAAGTTATCGTATATAATCGTATCGTCGGCGTATAAGTATAATCGTATTAATATGCAAAAGGTTTAATTTTATGGCTAAGCACTATTTGAGATAGGGAACAAAAACTAAACCAAACTAACCCCACCTAAAACAAACAGCCGTAAAGCTATGGCCTTTATATGGTTTTTAATTAAATAGTATATAAAATCTTAAAATATATAGGAATAGTTTTAATTAAGAAAAACGATGGATCGTCCTATATATTAAACGTAACGAAAAATAAAGGCTTATAAATCCCGAAGGGACTTATAAAGCCACTTTAAGCTAAGCCTCCACAGCCACTTTTAGTGGGCATCTCCAGCACCCCCACATCAACATGAATGTCTCCGACGCAGTAGCATACGATGTCTATGACTGGACAAACCGCATTCTTGTTTGGTGCATATATGTTCTCAAGATCTGTTTCCTCGATGACGATGATATGTCCACGGATCCACAGGATGCAGCATCTAGGTCACAGCAACTTTCAGCTCTGAGATCATTTGAACAAGATTGGAATACAATGAAACCCACAATATTCAACCCAATCTACTACGTGGATCGCGATGCAACAAATGGTCGATATTTTCCACAACTTTGGATGACAGATCCCTGTCAAGTCGTTGCACTTCAAAATATTGAACTAGGTCGTATAGTACTAGCTTCTCATGACTTGGCCGCAAAGCGCATTGGGATCGGGGCGTCGGCTGCACAGCGCAGTCAAGAGAGCATCTTCCGTTCATCAACCAGGATGATATGTGGATTGGCTCTGTCAAATTCAACATCACAGCCCGCTCTGGTAACGGCAGGACTTGCAATCACCCTTTGCGGGGAGTATTTTGTAGACCGGGGAGAGCAGAATGCCCTGTTAGATATTTTGAAAACATTACGACGAGAACATGCATGGCCAACGAAGGATCTTGCGGCGCAACTAGTTAGAGCTTGGGCTGCTAGCGAGGGCTGATGGAGTATCTAGAGAATAGAATTGTGCCAATATCCCGAGGTCATTCATACTCCCGCCAGGATGCATTCATGACTTTGCTATAAAGCCGCGGCCTGGAATAACAACGAGTGCAAATAGTTGATTGTCGCCGCAAAGCGCCATCTTCGGACAAGCAAGTCGGCGAAAACTTGCTCTTTTGGGTATAGCTTCCAGTTTTACACTACTTTACTGTTGCCGTTCTGACGAAACAGTCAGTACCGCGAGCCTCGAATAAGAACTATATCAAGAAGCAATAGTCTTTCTCCATGCACACATCTCTCACTTTTGACATTTCAATGTCTTAACTTCAGCAGACACTGAAGCACGAACTATTCTGAAAACCAGTCGTATCCTATGCCCATACTTCATTTCCCACAATGTTAGGAACCATAGCACTTGCAGCCATCTTGGTATACACCTTGGCATACCTTGTTCTATGGCCCATTGTTTTATACTTTTGGGATCCAAAGGGTGTTAGAAAGTATCCGAATTTCTCCCCGCTGTCTGGCATTACCGGCTTTCGACACTGCTACCTAGCTGCTCAGGGGTTTCGCTCAAAGCATTTGTACGAGGAGCATGCCCGGCGAGGTGAGCCAGTCCTGAGAATCGACCCAAACTCCCTCTCGTTCTGCGACACAAGAGCGATCAAAGGAATCTACGGCCATGGCACCAAGTGCCTCAAAGATCACAGTTATGTGGTACTCGCTGGCTCTCACAGGCAACTCTTCGACGTCGTGGATAAGAATGAGCATTCTCGAAAGCGGCGGCTCCTCTCTGCTGCGTTTGCAATCAAACATCTTGAAAAGTGGGAGTACAAGGTCACATATACAGCGGAGCGTCTTTTCAAGGCTTTTGACGCCAAGTGCACTCCCCCGCTCACCGCCTCCGTCCCCGATCCTGATGATCTGAACCTCGACTTTGGTCACTGGATTAATCTTTGGACAATCGAAGCCATCAACTACATCTGTCTTTCGTCGGAAATGGATCTGCTTGACACTGGCACTGACGGGGTCACTGCCGAGAGACGCGACGGCACCATGTATCGTGGGCGATATCGGTTCAGTATGAACCAGAATGCATGGGCGCAAGCTGTCCTAGTATGGGACTACAAGCTCTGGCCCTTGGTCAAGCGGCTGTCGCAGATCATCCCCAGCCAGTACCAAACCAAGTGGAAGAATGGCGAGCCCTGGGACGACATCATTTACCACCAAGCTGCCTCGCGGCTCCGTCGTCACCAGGATGGAGAAAAGCTCGACGACTTCTTCTCATGTCTCATGCACGACAAGGACGGCGAGCCAAACAACCTCGAATGGGGCGAGATTGTCGCCGAGATTGTCGCCGAGTTGGGACCCTCATCAACGCCGGCTCCGACACCACGGCAATTGCCCTGACGCAGGCCCTCGAGCATTTGATCAAGCACCCCCAGTACATGAAGGCCCTTCGCGAGGAAATCGACGCCGTCATGGGGCCGGACGAGGTCATTGCGTCGTATGAAAAGGTCAAGCACCTTCCGTACCTGCGCGCCGTCATTGACGAGTCTCTCGCATTATCCCGTCCACCTCAGCTGGCCTGCCCCGTCGAACGCCGCCCGAGGGATCGAGCATCATCGACGAGTGGATCCCTGGCGATACAAGTGTGAGCATGACCATCTACGCAGCCCATCGAGACCCCAAAGTCTTTAAGAACCCGGAAGAGTTCAACCCAACCAGGTGGCTCGATCCAGACGAGCGCAAGCGAATGGAGCATGCGTTTATCCCATTCTCCACTGGTGGCAGGGGATGCATAGGTCGCAATATTACGTATCTTGAACAAACCATCATGTTGGCATCTCTGGTTCATCGTTATGACTTTGCCTTGTCTAGTCCACACTTTGAGTTGCCACGGTTTGAGGCTTTCAAAATTATTTGTGGCGAGATGCCAGTCAAGATCTGGAAAAGAAACCTGGCAATCGTGGAGTGATGGTTTGGAAGTACAGAGCAGGGTGGACAGACTCGTTGAACAATGTCTATTAAAAAGACACGAAACTTCCGTAACTAAAGGCACTGAATGCAGCCCTTCATGTCAGTTATTCATCAATAATTATTATTATCTCGACTTGCCAGCAATAAACTTTGTTAAAGAAAATCAAATCAATGCATAAGCTCCGGTCTCTAGTGTCATATGGTTCACCTACCTAGGTATTTACCTTTTTCTATGGCCAATTCGCTCGAGGTTTCATATTTGGGCCTATCAGATCGTACTCAAAGTTTTCATCCTTTCGCCATTCCGCCTGCTGCCCAGTGACTCTGGGGGTAGCCCGTTCATCCGGCGTGGTCCCTTTGATATAGTCAGCGATTTCTGGCAGGTTGAGCGTTTTGCGGATCAGATCATCCACGGTATATGTCTTTTTGGCGCCTGCTTGAACCAGTTCGCCGTTCAAGAGTAGCTCGCTCACCTCGTCGTCGGTAGCCCGTCTCGCCCAGTCTATCAACCCGCAGACGAGATTGGACCAGTGGACGGCCCACACCTCATTCATGGTGCCTGCCGCTTGACGAAACTCGACGGTGCCCTTGGCCTCCCCACCAACATGGGTCAAGTTGTACGCGCAGGGCCATGGTAGCAAATTGTGTATTGCTTGAGCCGTTCCTGCATCGTTGAGCTCCTTCCATGCCTCTTGTAAAGTGACTTTAGGGTTCGGACCCATACTTGGAAAATCCACGAAAAGGGGTGTCACGCCGCGTCGTGCGTAGTCGTTTGCTAGCTCGCCCTTCATGCCTTGGGAGAGGCGTGACTTTTTGAAGAGGCTGGGGCAAAATTCATCGTTTGTTCGTCGGTGCTCTGGGTGCAAGTCATCAAACCAAATCTCCATTGCATAACATACAGCAGCCATCTTGCGCAAGTGCTCCATGGCCCACATGGTTGGGCCTTGGCCGACATGGACGTGGAATCCGCACTTTTCGTGGACAAAGTAGACGAGATTGTCCGTGATGAGCTTGACCACTCGTACGATCTCGTCATCTGCTTCTTTGCCATTTGTCATGGCTGGTGAAGTCAACTCTACATCCACGGCGTGGAATGGTGTTCCTTTGAGGTCCAACTGGTCCAGCCTAAACTTATCAACCATGGTTTCGGGGACTACATTCCAACGATGATACCGAGGATTCACCGTATTCATGGACCAGCGAAGACTGGGGTCTACAGGAAAAACTAGATCTCGTTCTTCCTTCTCATAATCAGGCTCATGGACGTCGACGCCATTTTTCGAGAGCAGCTCATACACACCCCGGCGAGCCGCTTTGAGACCGTCAAGGTACTCTATCCAATTCGATTCGTACTCCGGTAACTTGTCCCGTGCCACGACAATATAACCATTGTGGATACCCGTGTTCCCTTCGACGGGAAACTCGACTTTCCCCCCGCGATCGTCCGAATCAAATCGCCAGAGAAGTGCGAATTCAAACTCCAAACCTTTGGTGATGGGTGGAAGAGGAGGATTGGGTGGTGTTGATTGAGCCATTTCCCCAAAATGTTAGTAGATATCGAACGATTTCAAAATGTAATTGATACCATATGTCTTCACAGTGCCTAAGTATAATACTAACATCATTATTAAATATCCAGCATACCCCAAAATTGGACTTTGTAATAAAAGTAATGGTTCTTTGAGACTGACCACAAAATCATTGTTACGACTTTGTGTTTGACAATATAGTACACATCACAACTTGGTCCTAGCACAAAGGAATACGGAAGAGAGGGGCGACATATAGACAATATGCACACCAGCCAGACAATGGCCTTGTATATTTTTTTCTTCTCCTTTTCTTGCTCTTTTTCTGTCTTCATGTCCATTCCTTGTCCTCTGCCAATGTATTGTGCCGGAGACCAATTGATTAAGGCAACCAAGACGGCAGGGAAAAGCAGACAAGAACATGAAGTCTTGCGTACCTGGGGAATGTCGGGATCTCAGGTCAACACAAACCCTCGTAGAACTTGGAACATGGTCAGAAGATATTGTTTTCAAAATAAAGTCTAGAACAAAAGGGCAATGCGACTGGTTGGCTTGGCCACTGAAAATCAATTTGGGGGCTGAAATGATCTGCATAGTCCGTATAATACCCCAGTCAAACCAGTCCACCATTAAGTATTAGATTAGAGTTAGAGCAAGGTAGCGCCGCCGTACAAACCCCTGTCAGACCACATTTTTAGTATCACGAAGGATTCCTAGTATGTGGCACAGCCTTGTAAACGTGGCGCGTGGTCCAAGCGAACCTATTTTTCTTCTTCTTCTTTTCTTTTTTTGCAGCAAGGCGTTATTTATCAAAAGGAGAACCATGTCGCCTCATGTTGGGCTTTATTCTTGGGCCTTTAAATATTTGACCGACTCTACCCTGCGACGTTGAAAGACCACCAAAAAAGGTCGAATCTCGCATCATGTCGTGTGAGCTCTCGCCAAGTGCGAGCGCGTTTAGCGCCGTCCTCACTGCATTTATTGGGTCCATCATCAACGGCCTGACATCGGGATGGCTGGTGGCATTTATGACGGGCTGGATATCGTGGTTTGCATTATTTCGTGTGCTCCTAGGCGCCATTTACATGCTGTACCGCAGCGTCACAAACTCGTGGCCGCCCGAGTATGATGCCGTGGGACAAGCGGACGAGGACGAGGAAGACCAGCACCCAATGACTGATGTGGGCGCGGCGGATCAACAACAAATGTTCCAGGGCTCTCTCGGGTATGGAGGCTATCAAAGCTACGGAGTCGGACCGAACCCCAACACTTCTGCTCCCGCCTACCAGCCGCCGCAAAACATCCAGCTCAACCGGCCAGGTTTTCTTAGCACACTGTGGCCGACAGCATCAGACGTGCGCACGTTCAGACAGTTTGCCTCCAAGACAAAGGGGCAATCTCGAAACCCCTGGGGCCCGCTGAATCGGGATGTCTCGTTCCTCGGATGGGTCGGCTGGCTCTGGACGGGCATCTACGCTCCCATTTCACAGGGCATCTGGATTGCCGCCAACTTTTCGAGCTCAGCCAACGGCGCAGTCAAGATCGTCAAGGGCCTGACGGTCGCCGTCACGGCCTTGCCATTATGCATCGATACCCATGTACGATTCGGCGACGCCCTGGCGAAAAAAGCTGGCGGAATCTGGGCCAAGTACGCCTTTAACCTCGTGAGCAGCCTAAGCTGTCTGCTCCAGGGAATATTTTGCGCAATCCTCCTGGTCGAGGGTGCCATTGATTTGAGCAAATCGTCCACATTCGGATTCCCCACGCCTATCTTTGCGATCTATCCCATCTTTGCGCTGATATGGATGTTTGGCAGCTTGCGGATCCTGCCCATACGCGATGGTGGACGGCGCAGGGCTGCACAGAAGCACAAGGCCCTGATTGTACTCGACATTGGCATGGGCGCGTTCGCGGGACTGTTTGTGGCAGCGCCTGCCTTTGCGCTCTGGCAGAGCGCTTCGTTTAATGAGCGGGTTCAACAATCAGGATTTCCAAATTTCGGTTCTCATAGTAGCAGCAGCACTTCAAGTGGTACTCTCTCGCTAGGAGAATACTTACAATGCGAGACCGAAGCTTGGAAGAAATTTGCGGCCGTTTTCCCGTAGAATGGGCCATACTATACGAGCATCATAGATTAATATAGAATGAGACATATCAAATGCCAATCTTCGAAAGCCATGACGGAACATTATTGCTTGTTCGAGTCCTGCACACGTTTCCTAGGATCTTAGACCACTGACTCATCGTTTGACTTAACCCAACATTGATCAATTCTGATTCAATTCAATTATATTCAATTAAAACGTGGTATGCCGTATTTACGATTACATATTTGATCCCTTCAGAATAGAGTAGGGTCTGAATACCTGATTTGAGCGTGTTGTGAGTACCGTCATGAGCATCTGATAGGATAATGTTGCAACTCGTCCGAATTTCTTCGCTTCATTGGCCACCATGGGCAATTCTTCCTTGGCATTTCCCATAATATGCCCGTTAATTCATTTCATTCGTTTGTGATCAGATGGATGCTCGGTCTCAGAAACCCGCCCTATTTATTGCCGAAAAGTCAGTGCTATTCCTTCGTATTGATGTTTCGATCTTCAAACGAAATACGACATTATGAAAGCTCACGCACCTTGGGAGACGTCAGACGAGATGGACATCCTACTTACGCTTGATTTGTTCCAGGGTCGAATTTTCCGTGTGCGGAAGCTTGTTTGCCTTTTCTGGGGTTTCGTAGACAAGGTAGAATCCGGCAGCGATTGCAAGTGCGCCAGCGACGAAGCCGGGTAGGCTATAAAGCAGCACGTTTAGGCACCATTTCGATTGCTGCACGAGCGTTGCGACTCACTTCTTTGGAAAAGTTGAAGCTCCTCTTCCCTCGCCAGAGTCGTGTGCTTGTTCCGTCCTGATGCCGCGGACGCCTCCAAGGCGAACAGGGTGGAGTGCGATTGCACTTGGGCGCGTGGCTCGTAGGCCAGATCGCAGTGTGTTACTTCTGATGTACATGGTGGACGGCGGCCACGTTTCACAAACCTGCAAGAATTATCATATATTTCTTCCTCGATAAATCTGGAGTGGAATTGCAGGTTTGCAATCGAGGTTGGATGTTGATTGGAATGTGTCGCACCGTCCATCAGCCCAACCGCGCCAGTCTTTGTCACACTCTTGCACCGTCGATTTGACGTCGCGATGACGCAAAGGACAGGACTCTAATTCAAATGTTATATCAGCATGTGCCATGGCATGACTTTAAACCTTTCTAAGAGTTCCAATAGCAGAGACATACCATGGAACACTTTAAAAATCCCAATTCTCGTGCAATTCTTCAGCGCTTCAATCGGGAAGATGTCCAAGGCTTCAGCCCCGATTGACGCACAAGGGAGCACCGCCAATAAAGCGATAGGAGATCATTGTTTCTCGAGATTTTGCATGAAAATCTTTTTTCCTTTTTTTTTCTTTTTTCGTGGAATCGTCCAACTGCAGATTTTCGTTGAGTGTTTCCAATTACATGTATATGCGTATGAAAAGTGACATGCATAGGATGACTACGCACCTAGCTTCGGCTCCATCGTGAACCACTTTCTGTCAGTTGACCCCTGCTTGATGAACCCCCGTTGCCGTTGGAAATGCAGGGACTTGTATGCCCCAACTGAAGTTCTTGGACCTGGCGCCGATCCAAGTTTGTTTCATTCATTACACCTTGAGCAGTCGTGGCATGTGACAATGCAGAATGCAGCCACGACGGGGAGGTTCAAGATCTCATGCGGCCGAATGGAGCTAAAAGGCGGCCGCTTCCAGATGGACGCATGAGTAGGTATGTAGTAACGTAGTGTATGCTCTCTCAACGAGCCGCCCCTGATTATAATAGATCTTGTTGGTCGTCAAGGGCGAAGGTATTTCGCTCAACAAATTGCAACATTGATAATGAGCGCTATCTAGTCATGTCTGTTTTGGTCTTGCAGATTTTCCAAGACGGTGGTACAGAGGGAACCTACAGCAACATCAACCGAGTCGAACGCTCCCACCAAGCAATTGATTTCTGGATTCGGCATTCTGAGCCCCGACAAACAGCCGCTTGAGTCTTACAACTAAGCGGACTTCATCATAGATCAGGAGTCTATCCATCTTCTACGATCTACACGCTATGTTCGAGATGGAACGAAATCAAGAGCTTTGCGACCCCCACAGCCACAGAATACTGGTGGGAGCTGCATCTACTCGCCACGGGCCTTGATGCTCCCGGAACATCAATCAAATGAAGGTACGAATCAATTGACAGGAAATTGGCGACTCGAAATAGGAGATCTCACACAATGTTTCAAGACAAAGCATGAAGATCTGCCAATTGTTTCAGCAAGCTACCCCGCCTCCCCCAGCGATGAGGGCAAGACGCAACCGGCTGGCCATTCTTCGCCATTGTGTATTGTTGCGGTTGGCAGTTGCAATGCTCTATGATTTGTCCTCTAATCAATTGCCACTCGCAGGAATCTATGGCACGGCGGTGAATGGCTTTCAATAGTGGTCATGATGGAATAAAAACTCAATAAGCATTGGTAAGACAGCCAAGTATGCAGACCATAAGCAAAGAAGTCATCCTCATTCAGAGGAGGCTCCCGTAGTATTGAGACTTGTTCAGTGGGGAATCAGGCGGTCGGCTAACCCCACGATAGTGCCGATTTGTAAAGCTTATCAAGCCAAGGTCCCGACCAGCACCATTACAGAGGGGATGACCGATGCTGAGAAATCCCATTGTGCAACCCCCTACTCAGCCCAGCTCCAGTTCAGCTCAGCGCCCCACGACTCGGCATGAAGCAACAGCATTCGAGCCCGAAACCCCGACAGGGGCAGACAGGCACAAACGTCCGTCCATGGGCACTGCATTGCGGGAAGTGGGCTAAGGAAATGCATCCACATCTTACCTTTGATCGAGTCGTGAACAAATGTGCGCGGGGCTAATGCAGGCCACTTGAGATGTTTGAGAAAATTGGAAACTGCTCATGCAACTCACACCTGCACTAGACACAATACACTCACTATACGGTATACGAACCCCCCCGACCTTGCCCGAAATTGAATGGCGTGCTGCTGGATCTCACAGTCGTAGGGAAAGCGCTTAGTAACATTGAATAATGCCATGTCAACCTCCTAGCAGACACCAATGTACCGTGCCTCTTGGTACATGCCGGTACCTGGTTGGTGATCCCCTCATCTGCATATAAGACAGCCTTCTCCTCAGATCCGATTCCGTTTCTTTGTTCACTTTATCATTCCACCTCTTCTTCTTCTTCTTCATCTTCATCTCAGCAAGCGAGAATCATAGACAAAGAACTTGACTTTCTCTGTTTCTTACCATACCACCCACACATTCGACACAATGGCTCCTACCATCACCACCGACCAGTTCTTGGCTGCTGCCAAGTTTAGACGTACTGTCTACGGCCTCAAGGCCTCTTCTCCTGTCCCCGACAGCCGCATTGAGGAGATCCTGAAGGAGGTTCTCTCCTTTGCTCCCTCGTCGTACAACACACAGTCCGCCCGCTTCACCCTTGTGCTCGGCGAGAAGCACAAGCAGTTCTGGGACATCGTCATCAAGGAGTCCGAGGGCATCCTCAAGAGCGTCGGTGCTTGGGATGCCATGTACCCCCGATTCCAGGCTTTCCAGAATGCCTACGGTTCGGTAAGTTCGATTGCACCAGACTAAACAATTCCATAATTCCGCATCTATACATTATTCATTTCCCACCCCACTATCCACCCATGAGGTGATCATTTACCCCGCAATCACAGGCTAACACCAAGCTCTCCCCTCACTAGGTCGTCTTCTGGGAGGCCGGCAGCACCATCCAGCAGGCCCAAGAGACACACAAGGCCTCTGCCCACATGTTCCCCGAATGGTCTGAGCACGCCAGCGGCATTCACCAAATCCTCGTCTGGACTGCCCTGGAGCTCGAGGGCTTTGGCGCCAACCTGCAGCACATGAACGCCATTCCCCCAGTCGAGGCCGCCCTCAAGAAGTTCCTTGCCGTCCCCGAGGACTGGAAGCTCAAGGCGCACCTCAACTTTGGCGAGGAGGCCCAGCCTCACCCCGAGATTCCCTCCAAGCTGCCTACCAGCGAGACCCTTACCATTGTCAAATAAGGAACTAGGTCAGCCAACTAGATAATCAAAAAGAACTTATGGAGAAAGACGTCAACAAAAAGGCGACAATACACTAGACACTTGATTCTAAAGCTGAAGACAGTCAATAAATAAAGCAAAAGAGACTTTCCAAAATTAATAAAACCCCATCTTGTCTTTGCTGGCCTTGCTACGAAGTCAATTCTTTTGATACAAACTAATCACCTCAACACTTCTACTAATCACCAAAGTAGCAAGCCGAAATGTTATACAAGTCCTTCAGATACGATTGATAACCTACACAAGGCAATTTCCAATCCGCGAGATTCGATTTCTGGTTCTTACCTTACTAGAACAGCTCCTTCCCCTACATGATTTCCGTATACAAGTGGGTAGGGATTATTCGAGTATCCGGCCGCCAAGCCCCTGATCTGCAAAATCCAAGACACTCGCACAATCCAGTTGCTATAATTAGGAATATTTTGCTCTGATTTTGATATCCTGTGGAAAGTGAAATACTTTTCCATGCCTGTATAGCTGAAACTCATTGATATTTCACCTCTGCATAGGCGACTGTGGCTTGACGCTGCTCATGGAAGGATGATCTGACGGTGGCTTCCTGTCGGATAGAAGGGGACGGCGCTCATCCGGTGCAACCTAGGTCGCATTCTGGAGTCAGTAATTGTTTTCGGCAGTTCTCGGGCTCTAGATCTCGAGATACAAAGATCACCCGCAAATGGAAGACTCCTTGGACATTTGCCCACCCACGACTGATACAATAGATTCAATACTTGCTTACCTGTGACGATGCGAGGGAGCGTCTAGAGCCGTTCCAGCCATCAAAGTCCAGCTGAAGACTGGCACGGGCCGAACGCGGATCTTCTGGCGGATTCTTCCAGTCGCGGATGGCAAAGGCAATGCCCATGCTTATCAAAATGAGTTGCATAGACCCGACCAATAGGTAGACAATCCATGCGGACCAGCCTGCAAAGCCTACCCGCATGATCATGTTGATGGCGAATATCCAGGTGTACTAGATTCAAAATCAGCAACAGTCGAGGGATTCCCCAACAGATCCTATCCACATACTGGAGTCATGAGGCAAAGCGATACCAAGCTGAGACTTCCCAGGCTCTGCAAGTTCCATGTCGTCCAAGTCTGAGGAATCCACTGGACGCAGGCCAGACAAGCCACAGAGACGCCGAGAAAATCAGCCCACGTCTGCGCAATGCTCTTGAACTGGTTCAGGATCGTGGCGGACACGAGCAAGATCATAAAGGCGAAACCGCACACGGCCAACAGGACCACCCAGGCGCGCTTGGCACGGCGAAAGGTGCGCTCCGGACCGGACCATGACAATCGGTGGCCGTGGATTTCGGCATTGTACTCTTCTTCGGAGTAGTAGACATACATTAATAATCTGGATTCGTTATCATCAGTATACAGTTGCCCGCTAGAATACAGTCTTGGGCTCAACTTACACTATCCAAAAGCAGGATACACCGAATATGACTTGAAAGGTTCCGAGGAGGCCGCTTATGCAGGCGAATTTCGAATTTGTTGAGCAACAACCCATGTCTGCTTCAGTGGACGGTAGCATGAGAATGTTTCCAACAGCGCAGACGCCTGATAGAGAACCCAGAAAGATATAAAAGGTGGAAAGCCCTTCGGCTGATTTTCTCGATACTATGCGCGCCCATTGTGGTATATAGGATATGAGAAGCCATCCCATCAGCAGACTAACGCCGATCAGATAATCATTGTGAGTGACAGTCATAATACAAGCCATATCGACAGCAAGTATAAAAGATTTGACTTACCAAGACACGACAAACTGAGGAATCGAGGGCGTCGATAACTGAAGGCATCGCTCGGTTTGCTGCCTAGCAAGTTCGTCCATTTTGTTGATATATCCGCCGCTCGGCTTTGAAAATGCTGGGGTCTGAAATATTCCTGAGAAAGTTTTGTGTTGGGAAATCTTTGTCGGTGCCAAGCTCTTATATGACGATCATTGAAAAAGTCTCGAGTGTTCTATTCGGACAATTTCCAGGCTCCTGGGGCGGACGACCATCTAGACCGGTCAGCTATAAACATACGTCACCATGTCCCCCGTGGAATTGTAGGCAATTCCCATTCCAGAGGGTGTAGACATGCCGTGCGAATATCGATTGTGATTGGATGCATGACATAGGCCCTCTGAAAAGCACTGATAAGGTGCAGGACAAGATTGCAGACTTTTGCGTTTCACAGCATTGAGACTGCAGATAACGGTCAACAGACTGCCCTATCGGCAGCAATTGGGGACGCCTTACAGCATCACCTGTGGCAGTACCATTGTCTCCAATTTGTTTGGCTGGGCTTTCCCTCATGGTGGTGTGGCAAATGCACATTCTGGCATCTGGTCCCTCTGTGCAGATGCTACCCTGTCGGGATGCTTGGTGGTGTACCGCTATTGCTTGCGGAGGCGGCGCAGGCGAGGACGTCATGGCCAACAACAGGGCGTTTTGCTCCGGTCATGTCTACACTATATCAACACGTATTGACATTTCTACTTCAATGACGCAGGAATTCTCAGTATTATAGAGGCGTGCCCAGACATTGAGATATTTGGGAAACCAGGACTCGGGAAATACAAGAACGCTCGATGATATCGGTCGTTCCACAATGATCGATGGATACGGCGAAGATGTTGAATGGTCAAGTATCTCATCATCAGACAAGAAGACCAGCTTTGGTAACAAACATCAGCATTCATGGTGTCATTCCGCGGGTGTCTCTAAGTCACTTTAAAAGCTAGATGTGCTTGTCTGGGGTCTACCCCGTGGGGAAAGGATCGCTATATTTATAGTGGCTGTAGCGACCAGGACCCCTAGCACCAACAAGGAGCAAGCTCGAGGACGAAGTCGAATTGTTGCTTTCCCACTGATATCCAACCCTAGTCATTCTCATATACTTGATTTTGATTCCAATTCATGTATCTGTTGCAAAGTATCAATCTATAGGTACCCAAGTTATTCAGTCGCCCAAGGCTCAACACCTAAATGCAGCGCTCTTGGCAGCGTGCAACTAGACGCCCGGCAGTACCTCGGATACGTGCACATACCCCAGAGCAAGAGCTGTCACCCCGGAAGACTCCATGCTGAGTCCCCCACTCCAGCGTCATATCGCGTTCCTGACCTCTGTTTGTTCACGCGCTTTACGCATCGAGCGAAAGACACGATGCCGCCACCATGGTCAACTTCACCTTCGTCCCTCAGGATAATCCCGACGGTCGATCTCGGCGATTGCGCAATAGGACGGCATGTGACAGATGCCGGATGAAAAAGGTGAGCCTTTCTGCGCCCACACGACTCGAAATAATGTGGTGGTATCTAACTGCCGTGAATAGAGACGTTGCTATCATCAGCGTCAGTCCACCTCAAATTCATCGGAAGCGCCTGCCACCGTGGAAAGCGTGCGAGATTCGCCTGATCGACCAAGAAAACGATTCGGCAACAGCCAACCTCACCCTGGCCATGACTGGGACGACAGCGAGTCGCCGTCTGTGAATACTGGTACTTCAACAAATCTGCCTCGCGGCACGGGAACACGAGACAGAAGACATACCATACCCGATACTCGGCCGCTATCACCACCGAACAGACTTGCTCAGTCAAGCAGCCATGTTGCATTTGATGCGAATGAAAGCGATGCGTCGCCGCGTTTTGTTGGCGACTTGAACCCCGAGGCCAGGCTCATAGATGGGAGCACTCCATCAGAAGAAATGCTAGGTACATCGCCCGGAATGGTAGGTGTATGGGTTCATGCGCAACCGCACGGCAGACCTAGCCCTCTTGCCCGCAATATTGCCGCTTCCACGCACGTGTCCAGTCAATCGCTTCAACAAGTCCCGGATTTCATTAGAATCGAGGACCTACTGGCCCTAACGAACCTGTACTTTGCCGACATACACCCCATCATTCCTCTTCTTAATGAACAGGAGTTTCGAACATTGCTGACTCGCAACTCTGTGCCCGTGCCATTGCTCCAAGTGGTGTGTCTCCTCGCTGCCAAACATCATGCAGCGGCACCGCACTTGAGACTGTCGCCAGCGCCAGAGCAAACCCTGTCTGTCCGTGCATTCTGTTCGAAGTTGTACCACTTGGTCACGTCGTCACTTTCTGGCAAGACAAGTCTCAAGAAGATTACCTTGATCCGAGTACTAGGACTTCTTTCGCTCCACCATGAAGGACGGGATGGTGCGGAAGAGTCGTCTAGCCACATTGCTCAAGCCATTCATCATGCACAAACCCTTGCACTGCATCTACACCGTCCTAGTGATGAAGGCTACGAAATGAAGAGACTATTTTGGTGTCTCTGGACACTGGACAGGCTCAACTCGGCCATTCACTCTAGGCCGTGCCTCATCAATGACATAGATACGGCCATTGAGCCTCTGACTCCAGCCGAGTCTGGATCAGTCGCCTTTGATATATGGTTTAGGATATCCAAGATGCTTAGCACTGCTATCGGCCTGTACCGTCCGACAAATGATGCTTCCATTGTAGAAGTTGACTTGGAATACCACGGGTTCGAACAGCTCGTGGAAGAGTGTCGGGGATGCGACCTCTCCCCCTCCACGCTCGGTATGCACCTCGGTCGATATACCCTTGATCATTGTTACTGATGGGACATAGCCACTCTACGTATATTCTTTCTCGCGGCAGCAATCATCTCGCATCGCTTGAAAACTATCCAGAATTTGCCCAGCGTTACACCTGCTAGACTCAGGCAGCAATTATCCTCGATTCAAATCATTCGCTACATGAAAGACGAAAACCGCATCAACTCACTGCATCCCCTCCCCGTCGTTGTCTATGCGGCATCGTTGGCCCTTTCTGTCTTTTATCAGCATCTGAGATATAGTCGAATAGCCCTAGAGCAAGAAGAGGCGCACCAAGATTTCAACACGGCCTGCTCAATCCTCCAAGCTCTGCAACGAAAATGGAGCGCTGCCGATGCCATGGCATCATTGGCGCAGAAGGTGTCAACGGAGCTGAAAAAGCTGCCAAGTTTCGCCCTTCTTCAAATTGAGAGGGAAGAACCACACCGTAATAACAACCAAGAAAGTGAACACGATCTCCAGGCCTTGGGACCCAGTGCGGTTAACGAGCATCCGAACTCTGCGGCAGCGCCCGACCAGCAAGGTGGCCACATGGCCATGTGGAGACCGGACGGAATTGATCTGTTTGGGGGCATGGACGACATGTCATGGATGTATTTGGATCCTCAGAATCCAGTCAGCTTTGATAGTCTTCCATTTACAGACTGGGATGCCGTTTTTGCCGAATCACAAGAGCTTTGAGTTCATAGGCTTGTGGTTATGTAGCATGAAGTTTGCATTTCAGGTATTGAAGGCTATTTATTGTAGCTGCACCTGGTTCCAGCTCCTCTGGGTTACTGATTGATCCAAATATGGAATCGTGATTCAGCTGCTCAATCAATCCGGAACGGCCTACCTGCAGAAACATATCTCTGTGCATGGAGACAGCCGAGACACTATAGACCCGGAGATCATAATGCGCCAACTCCATGGTCAGGCTCTGCAACTTGTAACAACTACTCCATACGATACTAACCCACCTAAGTCGCTGCTGCTAATAAATGGCTTTAGTCAGCGGCTTCGGGGAGCGACCTCACTCAGCACTAAGTTAGGCCATTAGCTTCGGTTCATCTCGCAGCCAAAATAAGCACTTGTCCCACGCGCTCTATTATGTTCCGCACTGGAAATGTGGGTTCACCAATTAGGGGATAATGCAAAGTTTCAAGTGCATCAATTAGAACGCTATAGCGGCTGCCTCTAATGTGTCGACATAACGTCGGACTATATAGATAAAGACCGGTGGCATAGATCTAGTGTTCTCTTCTCCAGTGCCGACATTTCGTACTCGATTAGCGGTTATACTCCTGCCACGATACACATACATATATGGTGCGTACTGACTGACAGGTAAGCGGAGGCGGGCAATCACAGAGTCCTCCATTCGGTCATATGATATGACATCACTGCAGGCTATAGAAGGAACAACTCCGCTTGAAATCTCATATAAGAATGAACAAGTCAAATGCTGGAGTGTTCAAATTGATAATTCACATTGCATCATACAAGCCACGGAAATTTATATCACCAAGATGTCGTCCAGTCCGTTTTGCCTCTATTATGCTACATACTCTATTTGTGCTACCATGGTCCGCACAACATTTGCGATGAGAGGACCCCCAAGAGAGGGGCTGCCCGACATGGACATGCGTTTCCAACTTGTCGACATCAGTCCGGAAAACCCAGAACAGTTGAGCGAGGACTTTCTATGCAAAGTCAATCGCGACGGTCAGGTTCCTGTGCTCACAAACGAGCAACATTTGACCGAGCCGATGCCTGAGAGTGTGGATATTTCTTATTATATTTGCGACTGGTATCCTCAGCTTTTACCCAAAGAGCATGAGGCAGTCATTAGGTCGCTAGTACAGGAACTGCACCAGATCAACTATGGCGTCTTGACGTTCGGACCGGGGTCGCGACATCCTACGCGACTGGTGGCCAAGGTTGAGGAACTACTCGAGCAACCCGGGTTATCAGAATCATATCGCAGTGCACTGGAACGCAAGGCAAAAATGTACGTCAAGATTTGATGTTTGATTTTTATGTTTCAACATGGCTAACGCTCAAGTTTCAGATTGCGCGGAAGACAGGGAACGCTGACCGTAGAAAGCCTGGCCAAGCACGAAGCCAAAACTCGAGAGTTGTGCTCCAAAGTGTTGGCTTTGATGGAGAAACATGGCAGCGAACCACCACTATCTAGTCTGTATATCTTTGGGGACTCGCCAACTGTGCTTGATGCACATATGCTGCCTTTTCTTTGTCGAGTAGTCGATGGCAACAGATCGGATCTCATTGAACCGGCCTTGCTCGATTGGCTGGAGAAGTTTAGAAAGGGCGGTCTTTGGACTGAGATTGTACCTGGCGGCTCTACGCTTCCTCCGTATGCTTCTTCATAGTTGTCATCTGAGCCAAGTCCCACAGGATATTGTTTTTACCTGATGGCAATGGGCGGCACAAGACCAGACCTAATTTTAACAACGATACCATCGCCTGACCCCCATGGATGGCTCATCCTCCCATGTACTTCATATACCCAACCACGCTGACAGGAACCACACCTGTATCCTCTGAACTGCTCTTGTCCATGATTGGATACAAGTACCCTGGTGCCGTCCACGCCATCCACAGGCATACCCAGGCAAACCCAATACAACGATTGATCAAAGCCGGCGTTTGTTTTGTTCTCGATCCGGGAACAACATGAAAGCGGGAGAGAATCAAGTCTTCAATAAAGATTCCCAATGGTTGAATTGAGAAGAAACGAAGTGCTCCGGATTGTTCCATGGCGATGCCTGGAGAGATTTAGACTCGGAATCGAATGGATAGCATCATTGAACTCACCCGAGGAGAAATCCATTGCCACATGCCATACACCGGATAGTAAGAATATGAGCCAAGTCCGTACGTATCTCACCAGTGGTCCGCCTCTCTGAAGCCTCAGAATATCATGAAGCAAGTAATTGGACATGGTGTTGAGTCGATGCGTGTTGATTTGATGCCAAAATATACTGGGAAAAGCGCTGGGTCAATTGCATGAAGCACTCATGGTAACTCGGACTAAAGGCAACTTACCTCCAGAAGCGTCTCAGACTATAAGCTTGGAGAATTGGGCCATTGAATGGCGGCCAGTCCTCGGAGGCGCTCAAGCCTGACCCAACGCAGACCAACGCCACGACACTATAGACTCCCCGTTGAAATGACACCAACCCAGCACAAAGTCCAACTGCGGCGAAAAACCTCATGAAAAGCTCCTCGATGGTGATGTCGCCAAGCCTTGAGAACAAACCAATCTTGTCGGGCGAGTAGAACTTGCTTGCCACCTCTGCATCTGATGATGAGTCCATAATGTCGAGGATCAGGTAGCAAACTGCAATGGTCACCGTGGTATGCCAGAGATAACGTCGACGGGATGAGAGTAGGCACGGGTCCAACTGAGGTAGATGTTTGACTTGATAGGGGGTCTTGACAAAGCGCCATGAGAAGAAAACGGCAAAACCATATCGCAGCCGCGCTGAAAATCCAGACTCGCCTCGGGCGGAATGCGCCGCAGGTGTTGCAGCCGGCTTGGCCGTGATTCCCCTAATCAAGTCTCTTGCCGGACCTTGAAGGTCGAAGCTCCATCCGCTGAGCAGGGCAACATCCACAAAGTGCATCAAGGACGAGAGCGTGTATCCGCCAACCGCCGATGCCCACGAGCTTCTGGTGATTTGCACCGGACAGTTTACAAGGCAATGCCACGTTAGTCCCAGCAAGACGGGTAGACATGCAGTGCGAATCGGTGATGTGGCTCGAGTGAAGCCAATGACGACAGCTGTGAGTCCAACTACCGCGAAAGAGTCGAGCAGAGGATGATAAGTCATGGCTAAGACAATAGAAGCAAGAGAGAATCGAAAGGCCGTCAAGATTAATTCAAACTACAAAGACCTTTAGCTTGGAAAGAGATACATGATGATAAAAAAAAAAGATTAAAAATACCTTGCAATGTTAGCACGAGCTTCCCGCCATCACACTCATGAGACCATCGGTATTGTTGGTAGATTGTTGGCAAGAAGGAAGACTAGCGCAGGTACAACATCCACCAGGGGGATGCACCAGTACGGCGCAGTAGGTGAGTCGAGCTGCTGTGCCGCGCTGCTGACATTGCCAATCAGCGCCAAAGGAAGCGCTAGCCCTCAAGTGCTTGAACCCTGTAGGTATTTGGTACTGGTATTGTCAATTATTCAAATGTCGAACGAGCATTTCCAAAGAAATGTATCGAGAGAGACACTATTTGTGCGAGTGCAAGGATGCATTCGGTCGATAAGTCAAAAAGCAGCCTGTAAGGTGTTGGAGTTATAGCCCATGTTTACACCAAGTATTTTGTGCTGACGTCTCACAAAATGATGGAATTGTGATTCTCTGGTGCCATGTAAGACTAGTAAAGAACATTATCAGATGTAGAACAGGTATAGTTGATAGACCTTTTCTAGCATTTCTCTCCTTTGATCCTCCTCTTCTATTTTCACTTCTCTCTTTCGATATATTTTTTTTCCCCTTTTCCTTCCTTTTGTAGCCCGGTTCTTCTGAATCTTATCCTACCAGCCTTCCGCAATTGTTGCACAACACACACGATTGACTGTCTTTCAAGTCTTGAGAGGTAATCAGATGTTTCCGAACAGAGGGACGTGTTGGATGGTTGTATGGGGCCATGGTAGAGCTCAATGTCCTTATTTCGCCATGGCGATATTTGTCTGCAACCATCTGCCACGACTTTGCTACAATCCACGGCAACTCCGTAGCAGGCTTTTCGTTATCCACCCACTCTATGAGCGGTGCATGTCTGTGACAATTGGCCGTATAGCGGAATATGCAAGGCTTGTGCTCATATTCATCAATGCCGACATGGCCGGTACCGTCAGACCACAACTGCATGATACGCAACTTGGGCATATGAAGCGCTGCATAGGCGGCAGCCACAAGCAGAGTGCTGTTTGTTTCGACCCTCGGTTTGGAGGAAAACTGCAACTGTGTTGTCTCGGGAGCCCGAGTTAGCCTTATCGATGTCGGCGTAAGAGTCTCGGGAGCCCGAGTTAGCTTTATCGATGTCAGCGTAAGAGTCTCAAGTCTCTTCCATTCGGATGCTGGCTTCAGTCGGTCGATCTCCGTAGTGAATGGCTGGAAGAACCAAAAGGCATCAACTATAAATGATGCCTCTAACTCGACAAGATTCAAACTTGCGATGCGTAGGTTTTCGCCCAATCTTGGGTAAATATCCAGATCCTTCCTGTTGGACTCTAGACAATCAAAATCCTCGTACATGACCACTTTCTCGACATGTGGCGGAAGCTGTGTGAGGATCTGACTCAGGCCTCCAACCCTGCCAAGGTGCCATGACTCAAACTGAATGGTTTTCAACATGGGTAATGCGTTGAAAACGTAGGATAATTTGGGTATGGTCTTACCAAACTGCCGAGGAGTCCACAGACTATGAACAAAGTCTAAGCTTGGAAGGGAGTCTGCGCCGACATGGGCCAAATCGAATTTCAGAGGCAAGGGCTCAGCATGGATCCGAGAGGGTCCAAAGTAGATGGACTGGGTGGAAGAATTCGGCTCCAAACTCGGGAAATGGAGCAATCCATCACCGATGGATGGATGCAGATCGCGCATCGTCTCGTCTCCCGTTTGCCTGCTTGAGATCCCGCCTCCGGGGCATGGAGAAGTAGTTTCCGGGATCCAAGTACTGGGAGATAGGGGCATCGCAGTCTGCCTGCGCCTTGATATCTCACCTGGAATGGAGAAATAATCTGTGTCCAAGGACCATTCCGAAGCGTTTCCAACGCCACAAAGATAGTGCTGATAGAGGTTGTTTACCAGGTTGGAATCTAGAGGTGTTTCAATGTGTCTCCAGTCAATGCCGCAATCAGACACAAGCTGCCCTTGGACATTGAAAGAAAAGGGAAAGGGTTCCATTTGGTCGTGCATCAACAGATCTTTGCACATACGGACGCGTCGGAATGGGGGGCGCCGAAAACAATATTCCAACGAGTAGACACTCAACACCAAGGCGAGTGTCAGCTCTTTTCCTGACCCTTTGATGTCGTTTTCCCACTGCTTGAATGTTGTGAAGAGGTCCCACAGCGCAAAAGTGTAGATGCTGCTGTTGGTTTGGGCAGGTTCAGGGAGACTATAACCCTCGTATCTTTGGCCTGGGTGTGACGAAAGTTCAACGTGAAGCCAGAGTCTACGAAGAGATAGTCTTCGATCCGTTCGATCTCGGTTCAGTATACTTCTGAAATCTGGAAGATCATATTGATGCAATACGAGACTGGAAAAGTTGTACTTCTCAAAGAAGGCCTGCCACTCGCGTGCCACCGTCGCGTAGTTGGTCTGCAAATGATTCGAAGGTGCACCGCCTTGTCTACTGGGAGTGGCCATATGCTTCGGGGATAGAAGCAGTTCCCAGATCTTGTATTTGAGCTCGTGTGGCAATGAATCCCACGCTACCGTGTCAGATTGTGGGACTCGTGTTTGAGTTGTTGGCAAGTCCCTCGGTCGTGTAAGTAGAGGCAGGCCATGGGGGTCTGGCCCGACTTTCTCCATGGATGTAGTCAGAGTAGGTAATATGATGTCGAATGTTTGCGGGAAGTTTTGCTGCTGTCGTAGGAAAGAATGCAAGGGCAAGAATGTTTCCCATCCGAGCGCGCTCTCCGGACTACAGCTCTTTTTATAAATAAAAGGAAGTGTCACACGTGCTTGTAAATGACTGAACTTTCGGCGCCTTCACATCATCGACAGACCGTAAGACCTTGATGTTCCTACACAATCATGGAAAAGAAAGCAATGCATCGGCGAAAGAAAAGCAAGTGCTCTAGGATAGAAAACTACCCGACTGGCCAAACTACCTAGGTACTTACTACGGATGCTGGGAAGATGTAGAGTAGATACAAATTGCAGCTGTGATACGCGGCTGGGGATGTCTCCACCCACTGATATATCTGGTAGATGCCTAGATGTAACGTAGGGGACGTTGCAAAAGCTTTCTCTCCCCTGAAGCGTGTGCATGTGTTCATCCGTGTTATCATTCCCAAAGGTCAACACTTTTTCCCCACAGGGATCTTACACACTCGTTTTCTATCCGAAAGGTCATGAACTCGTAAATGAATATCCTTCTAATAACAATATGGCAGAGCAAATATCAATTGATGGACAGACTGCTCAATGAGGCAGAGGTGGTCCTGCATTTTACTGGTACGTTCTTCTCTGGACCATCTGCCAGTATGGCACCATCCTTGCCTTCTAAATAACGTGCCACCAATCATTCAAGTTTGGTTCCTGCATTTCTCGATTATCCGGCTGATATGTGGCTCTCGCAAAATTCTCGCCCATCGGAACATACGGCCAAACTTACCCAGCTTCTGTTGGCTTTTCTAAAGCAAGCTGCTCTTACTGGTGCTGTGTTTGTTGAAACTGCCAACTTTGGCTCCTGTGGGGAGGGGGGGTTTTTAAGTCCGGGCAGAAGCGTTGGAAACCCATGGACATTACTATCCTTCGGTCTGTTCTCGGCCCCGTGGAATATAGGGTTTTCAGGTTGCAAAGTTTAGCATCACGAGCATGACACCCAAATTTTTAAACTGTCCTTATTTTGCAGGCAGTAGAAAATAGCGCTAATTATTTGGATATGGCAGTGCTACGGATTCTCCCATAAATAGAGCATTCGCCAAGGCAGAGCAGAAGAAATATTGGTACGTGTTTACTATGGGCACGGTTGTGAACCGTCGTCGGCTAGGACTTGCCAGTAGGTTACTTGTGGACGTGCCGAGCCGGGCAGCCAATTCGCTCGAAACTACGACAGAGGCCTCAAAGGGACTTTGTATCAATTATGGATGCGGGCTTGTTGGGGATGCGGTGCTGGGGAAGAGAAAAGTTGGCCCCAATGGACTGCTAAAGAGACAAGGTGGCGGCGCTATAATGAGGTCCACGTATTGGCGACCATAGAGCGTCTCGCCGCGCTTACCTGGGCAGAGTAGTTGTACAGTCTTTGCTTCTCCCTAGGGCACCAGTGTTGATCTTGACATTCAAGTTGACTTCTTTCCCCAAATTATCTATAGCATGTGGTCCGCAGTGCTTCTTTGATACTGTTCATATTCCCGCAGAATCGCTTCCATCAAACTATCGCCTCTCAGTACGATAGGCAAATGAGCGGGACTTGGATTCGAAACCAGCAGAAATTCTCCGTTGTCCACGGACCTGGTAGTCCTTGTCCGATTATCGCTCTCTCGTAGCTCGATGCTCGATCCCCTCGAAGTTGGCATACGTAGAAAAGAGCGACCATTGTCTTCGCCCGTTTCCAAAGTCTTGCAGGTATCCAGTATGCTGTCATATAGGAATTTTGCTTTTGCCCGAAGTCCGACAGGCTGTGAGGTACCAAGTGCCGCCATAGCTTCTTGCCTGGCGTAAAGTTCTGTGCGTTCTTTTTGGGCAAAGAGGGCGCGGAACGAAGCCAGACATGCCATTATAAATGCTTTGAATAAATTAGTAACTCTATTCCATCATCTCTTTCCGGAACATGGGTGTGAGTAGTCGCGTTGTCTTGACCATATACTCACAGACAATCCATTCCACGCTGACCGAAAACCAGGCCCACGTCATACTCGCGATTTGAGCATCTCCTCCACCATATGCACTAGACCTTACGATGGTAATGGCTATGGTGAATAAGACTAGACAAAATACGACCGAAAGAATATATTTCCGTCTTGGAGTAATTCGTGTTCCCCAAAGTATCGTCAGCGGGAAAATGATGACTATTCGGGCCTCCAGTAAGTTCCATGTTGAAGACAAGTTGTGAATGTGTTCAGGCCTTACTAAGTATGTCAGATATGACATCGACAGATAGAGATAGTATAAGTCCCGCCTTGGATATATCACCGACACGCGAGTCCTGGACACTCGACATGTAGTCGGTAGAACCAAAGAGACAATAATATCCTAGGCCCAGTGTAGCAGCGAGAGAAGTGACCGTAAACGTCATGGCTATCCACCAAAAAACAACGTATTTGTGAATATGCCTTCCAAGGTGGTAGAAGAATATGAGAAAGCCAACTTTGATAAGCCATAAACCGACAAAGCTGACAAAGAAGAAGACGCCGAATCCGCGTATGCTTTTCTGTACCGTCCGATTGAAATATGGACCTGCGTCGAGTTGTCCCAACTCCACCCTGGTTAGGATGTATACAGAATCCAAGTAGATTTGTGACCATATGGCTGAAACGAGAAGACAAAGTAATGAAGCTGCCATGAACCAGTCATCGGCCAGGAGTCGACAATGACAAACAAGTCGGATATAGACTCGCCCGCTAAAAGCGATACAACAAAGCGCGAATCCACCCCACAACAGGCCCTGAAAGACTTAGTATAAACATGCGATGTCCGTGTTTCTGATCTCTCCACTTGCCTTGAACGTCGTTATCGTAACAATCGGCTCCTTTGCCAGACCCAGTCTTTCCATGTTGCAATATGTTGCGACAGCACACTTTTTACCACCACTTCAGGATGGAAACAACAAAATTACAGTCCATCTGCTGGTGGCCATGGCTCAAATAGTAGGGAAATCAGGCTCCGCGATGTGTAGTAGAATCGGCCTTGCCATTAGACGTAGCTCGTGATGTAAAGGGTGTGGCTGTACATAGGCACGGCAGTTGAATTGGGGGCGAGATGATGCAGTCATTCCAACTATCACCACGTCCTGGATACCAGAAGGGGCAAGGAAATCATCATAACTGGCGCCAATTCGTGAATTTTCTTCCCTGTTTCTTCGTCTAGCCAGCACACATATTCTCGTCGCTGTATCATTGATTATGATGTTTGATGCTCTACCGGTCGCCCGACGACTCAAACTCACAAGTTGGGCATTGCCATTGGAGAAAGAAATAAATAAATGGACGATGCAGCTTTCAAGAAGCAATAAAACATGGATACTAGCTAATATCCTCGGAGTTTGAGGACAATCTGAAGGCTTCTGTTGATGGAGTTCATCATGAGGTTGATTATGGTTCAACGCCCAGTGATGAACTGGAAACCGGGTGCATAAATGGACCGACCATCCTTCTTGGAGTTTGGAAGTCGCCGCGAACCGACAACCTGCAGGTATGTTAGTACTATTGACGATCTTGTAACGCATCATTGGCTCGCCAGGCTAAAGGATGGCGACTCTCCACGCTAAGCCACTCGATACCCCGGGGCGTTCAGGGGCCTTGGGGGCCACTAAATATCGTACATCCGTCAGTTTTGTGCGCCCCCTCAACAATGCATGAGCAACAACCCTCATTCCTGATTCCTAACCAATACACAGTCCCTCGCCGCATCATTTCCCTGCGTTTCATCAATACTCCACTAATTAAACATTGGTAAGCCACTTTTTGAAAAGATACAAATATAACACTTTAGCCTCGGACAAGACTTGGATTAGCTGCAATCTCGTTCTCTTTTGTTCAATCGCGTGGATGCTACACTCAATGTTCCCCACCTTCTCCGCGGTCACCCGCGTGGTTGGCATCCTGACAATACTTGGGTGCCTCGTGAAGATATTCAACCTATTGGCCCTCTACCTCCGACCATCTGGACTGGGTCGTTTCATCCACAAATCGAGGAATGGTGACAGGCCATGGGCTATGGTCACGGGTGCAACCAGTGGTATAGGCCTGGCCTTTGCGCATGAGCTGGCTTCGCACGGATTCAATGTGGTTATCCATGGCCGTAACCACGACAAGCTGTCGCGGGTCCTGTCCCAGCTTCAGGCAGCTTTCCCAATGCAGTCATTTAAATCGGTTATTGCAAACGCAGCCACCATGACCCGCACTGCGGATCAGTCGATCAGCTCGGGCAAGTTCGAAATGGTGGATTTCAAAGCAATTCAGGAGTCGCTGAGTTCCATCAACTTGACGGTTCTCATCAATAACGCAGGCGGGGGTCACTGTGGAAGCCCGACCGATCCGACTTGCCAGCCACTGAGAGAATCATCCGAAGACCGCATCGTGGGCGACTTTAGTCTGAACGGCCTGTTTCCTCTGCTCTTGACTCGAGCGCTTCTGCCAGATCTAATGAGAAACTCTCCATCCCTGGTCATGAACATCAGCTCCGTGGCAGATAAGGGCCTTCCTCTTCTGACCACGTACGGTGCGAGCAAGTCGTTCATCATGACGGCAACGCGTTCGTTGCGCCTGGAAATGCAGATGGAAAAAGACGCGCAGAAGGATGTCGAGATCTTGGGCATCAGAATCGGCAAGGTAACCGAAGCCGGGGGCCACAAGGAAGCAGCCAATCTACTTCTTCCAAGTGCGCAAACCATGGCAAAGGCGGCTCTGGCCAGAGCTGGCCACGATAATGGAGTGGTTGTGGGCTATTGGGGTCATGCTCTCCAGCTACTCATCACTCAAATCATAGGGTTGCTGCCTCGTTCCGTGGAGGATAACGTGCTTGTCAAAATCATGGACCAGCAAAGGGAATATTATGATCATCTCAAACAAAGTTGAACGAAGTCGTCGCAATTGTTAATGGGTATCTAAGATGATTGGTGGACTGTAAGACAAGGAGCTCTTCTTCAGCTCGACCGTGTATTTTTATCATCAACCAACGCTTACAGTGAAGACACTCCCCAAGCCGGGTTGTGAATTCACTGATGTATACATGAATGGTTATCATTGGACATTATTCAAGCATCGACCCAGATCGCCCAGTCAAGATACCAAACAAGATGTCTCATCCGCTCCGTCATCAGCTCCTTCTCACCATCTGCCAAGGCATCATAAAGGGCCTTGCATATGTACTCTGTGACACCATGGACTGCCTGATACGCTAGGGCTTTAGTAGGTGCTGTTCTGGGAAGGAAGATCGAGGCACAACGCTCTACTTCCAGCATGTGGTTGCGCGTACTGTAGTCGATGAAAGGAGACAAGAGACGTTCGATGCGCCCCTGTAGTGATGCGTGTGTCTCCTCTTCAGTAGGAAATGCAAGCTCCCTCAAAACATTGCTGTACCTAGCTACTGTCATGTCGGTTATTCCTTGCCAATCAAACTTGCCCCCACTTGGCTTCTGGTGCAGGATGAGATGATTGACATCTTGTCGTATCGGCTCTAGATCTTGGGTAGAAAGATGGTTCAATCGTGGTAGATGGGCTGCACCCAATTCAACTAGATTGGGTTATTACATGAGTTGGAAGATCAGAATTTCCAGTGGGAGCTCACCTGTAATCTCATCATGGAACAATCCCGAGTCGTTCTCTTTGGCCCGCGAGTACAAATCCAGTCCATACGTGAAAATCGACACAAAGTTGTTGAAATTAGCTTGGACGAAGCGAATACCAATCCCACCAGACCCAGGTCCGTGATCCTGGATTGGAGTATTTTCCCGAACTCGAACGACGGATTCCAAGTCCAGATTTCGTTCAAAGTCGCATAGAATGATCTCAAAATCCCCACCAAGGCGAATAACCCCATCAATTCGATCTTCCCAGGGCCCTTTGGCGAGATCGCATATTGTCTGCGCACGCTTGTATTCATCCTCGACACCTCCTGAAAGCGTGTCATTCATAAGAATTCGATCAAACGAATCCATTGTTCCAGATCTCGTCTTTCTGGCTGATGCGCCGTCAATGTACAACAAGTTGAGGTCCTTGGCGGCCAGGTATGTATGTAGCCAGCCAGCCAGATCAGGAGCTTGAGCGATTTGGGCCTCTCCATCAACTAGAGGCTGTTGTTCATCGTGGTCAAGCAAACGACCATCATGGCGGTCACCATGGCCATTGCCTCCATGCTTCCGAGCAAAAATCAGTGAGAATTCAGGATCAAAAGCCAAGAACTCTGTGCCATTGATCCGGTCTGATTTAGGGTTCCCATGGAAGAGAGGGGTCCCTTCGGGGACTGTTGCCAGGAAGAAAGACATGCCATTCTGGTTGGTCGTGGACTCCCTCTTGCGCAGGGCCGAGTTGAGGGCGTTAAACACATGTTTGTGGTTCAAAGCTTTTCGGTTCCCATCGCGCGGTCCAGTATATGGATCAATGTGCGCATTGATAATATTGCAGTTTAATGCTACAAGAACGAGCGATGTAAGAAAATGCATTGTTCTAGCAGCGACCTGATTCTGTTTAATGGTGAGTGTGAGAAAGGATGGATTGATTCGCACATGGAGACTAGACTAGCACTCCAGACGTCGGGGCACACTGGAAAGTAGGGAGCTTCCACCAGAGTGACGATCTCATATCCAACACATCGGACTTTTGTGAATAAGTAGTGTCATGGTCACTTGATGAAGTGGATGCGTTCAGCTTGCGTGGCCGCCACTTTACCTTGAGCCCTTACGAACTCGGATCCGAGCCAATCTCGGCGCTAATAGATAGATACCACAGTGTCGAGCATAGCAGTATTGTTGCCTGCTTTTGCGAGCTATGTGCATTTTTTAAGCCGTTCCACCAATTTCCTCCTCGGTTCAGACTGCGACAGGAGGATGGAATGTGAAGTATGCCTAATGCTTGTCGACGTACGTATACAATGAAATGGCACACCCTAGGCCATCGTGGGTAATTGGTGTACAGTGTAGAATGTGTTGCGACAACAAAATTGTGTCATCACGCTTGCTGAATCTGTTTTGCAAGCCGAAATCGATGGTATGATTACGTAGCTCTGCCTGCAATATATATCTTCTTGACCACGAATGAATGTCCGTAAGCAAATGGAAGCTGGCCCATCAGCGTGTCTTAGTTTGGGGCCAGCACCGGGGCCACATTTTCGACGGCGTCTTGCCATGCTTACTTGCTTCCCTATAGAACCAGTCCGTATCCTCGGACTTGACCCCATTTTCCAATAGAATCTCAACACCTCTACCCAGGACTCATCACGCTGATATCCTACTGCTTTGATTAGACACGTTTGCATGTTTTTGTCCTGGCGCTTCACATCTGCACCCTCCTAGATCAACAATTCGTCAAATGCAATTTTCGGGAAGTCACTGCCCGCATCAATGGTGTTAGTCCTAGCTCGTCCCTCGCATTGATCGGTGGAATTCCTCCTTTGAGGAGTACCAAGATTCTAGAATCGACGACAGGTTATTGAATACTACCCTATTTAAGTCGTAGGACGATTGGCTGTACATGGTACTACTGCGTTGTGCGCCATTTGCCAAGAAATATTCAGCGAGATCAACATCTCCGCGTTCTTCCGCGTAGCAGAGCGCTGTTTTGCCGTTACGGTCAGCGAGGTTCACATCTGCGCCATTGCGTAAAAGATCCTGAGCAAGCTGATAGGATCCGTGAGAGGCGGCCAAAGAAAGCAAAGGGAATCCATTGAGTTTGTGCATATCGTTGGGTGAGAAGCCATATGATTTGCTGTGGATCTTCATGGCCTCCAGCCTCGAATCTTCCGTGTCTTGGATATCTCTGCGTGGCGATGATAATGGAGAAATAGCCATTGCGATGTCCCAAAGTCTTTTTAGCCGCGCTAGAGAGATATCTCTCGGGTCTATCAAGTGATTGAGATCCAGTACTGTGCGAAGCAGGTTTTGATGGTAATCCCCGCGGTCAACTTTGCCATGGCGTTGCCAGTCCCATACGAAAGGAAGCAAGTCAAATTTCGTCTCAAAGTCTGCGACATTCTGCCAGTCTGTTCTTGACATACCCTGCTTCTCCCAAGACGGCGCAACGATTAGTAATTCAAAGTAGTCTCTCTGAGCGCGCACCACAGCAGGACGCATATTCCCTTCAAACAGACAGATGAAATCTCCAGTTTGAATGGAGTTAGCTGAGTTTGGAACGTGCCAGGTTTGATTATCATACACGTTGCTCATATTTGTGCGTCTTTGAATTATGGTTTCCTGAAAGCCGCCTCGTTGAGCGAAGTTTTCCACGGCGATAACCTTGCCGATGATCTTTGCGGCATGTCGAATGCCCGCACAACGTCCATCAGCTGGGACATGGAATCTTGATGCTTCTGGGAATAAGACTCGCAGGAAGGAGTAAAAAACCTGATCCCAACCCTTGGAGTAGTCGACCAAAACCCCAATGTCCTCGAAACTTTCAGAGCACAAACCCTGCAATGCATAAAGCATATCGTGGGGCATGGTGGAATAGCGAGTATGGTACATGTCTACCAATTCTCCGAGTGGCATCAAGTTGGCGCGATTCGGTTCCAGTGTGGACGTAGTCATGAGGTTCACTACAGGCATAATCCAGCCGAATATGTCGAGGCGCTTCTTGAGCAGGTCGCTCAGTGCAAGCACTCCTAAACAGAAGGCATACCCGTTGACCTCAGCCGAACCACACACCATTAAGGTGTAACGGGACGAGCTTACCTCTTGAAGGACCTGTCGCGCAAAAGGTTTAGTTACGGAAGATTGAGTCAGAAATGGTTTGGATCACTCGTACCCATATGCGACGAAACCATGGTCTTGTGAGAACAGCAAATATGGCAGCTTGGGTTGCATTGTCCATGTGCCAATGATTCAGATCGTCTTCAGAAGCAGCAGGATGCTGTGGCAGATCTGGTAACCCAGATTCTACTGATTGCTGTGAGTCAGTGTCGGCATGAAACACTTCATCATCAGAGCTTGAGTAGATCGAAACGCTCGGTGATGAATCATGCTCATCAAAGAGGCGACCCTCGAGGCGATTCTCCATTCTTGGTTCATCCGAAGATGAATTGCCCTGCGCCGATGGCGAGGGTGGATGGCGGGATCGCGTACTATTCGATCGATTTCCATTTGCATTGATGATGACGTCTAATGCACGAGTGCTATCATCAGCCTCTACCCCGAGCCACACAATCACGCGACCTGCTTGATGGTAAATTTGCGACATTAATGGAATCTGCTGTGACTTCTCCCCCGTGTCCGCCTGATTGATGCATATCGCATCAATCCAGAGGACTCTATCAAGCACGCGATGTCTCAGACGAAGTAGAGCCTGGTACAAGTTCGTTCCAATATGAACAAGGTGCCCAGAGACGAGAATAGAGCGAGGCTTGTCCTCGCTACCCCAGACATAGGACAGTGCTTCGTATAGTTGCATTTGTCCACTGCTTTCTGGCATAGGAAGCAAGAGTAGCTCGCATTCCATCGGTGCCTCGGTATCGCCTGGTAGCACACGAAGTAGTCGTATAGTCCGGGGTGGAAGTGGTTCGTACAATTCCGCCATTACTGCGATGATTGATGAAGTGGTTCAAGATTATGTCTCAACCCACAGCCTCGCGGCGTAGATACGGGGGGAGTGCGTGGGTCAAGAGAGGAAGGGCAAGAGGAGTCTTGATTGGTTTGAACACGGTACATGGTGCGTAGAAACTGCCATTAGGCAGCCGATCTAGATCTCACAAATTGATTCTCATCGATTTATTACACTTGCATAAGCAACGCTTGCAATTGACTAGCAATTGTTATACTCATCGACCAAGTGGCTTGACGTATTGGTGTCCTTTACAGAGTTAGGTCTGTGTCTAGTACACAGTGGTACCTTCGAAGTAGCTGGAACCCTCCTGTAAGCTGCCGGGTTTTAGGAGCTTGAAAGCTAGCACGCTTACCTGTCTGGCCAGCAGTTGCGAAATAGGCAGCATTTGTTCTGTAGGTAACGTACTTGGTTGCACTTTACAACTGACAAAAACAATCATTAAAAACGTGTGAGGATTTTTTTTTTTCATCTTTCTTCTTTGTTTTCCGTTACATTATACCCCCTTACCAAGTTGTCCATCCTTTGGCAGTCGCCTCACTGTATGCATCTTCGCCCATTAACTCCCTAGGTGCCGCGTCCCACAAATGATAAGACATCAATCCGCTTCTACTACTATCGTATCCCGGACTCTTTGGATTGAATGCCTCTACTGTGACATGTTTCCTTGGGAGAACATCTGGCTCCCTGAGGATCCTCCGGATCCTTGCTGTCTGCCTCGTATCCTGCCTTGCTTAGTGGATCGAATTCGACGCGTACTATGAGCTGATCGTCGCCCGGCCAGGCGGCTTTATCAAACATGTAAATGAGACTGTGGTAGCCATGCTGGACTGGATCCTGGACATATGACGATACAGGTCCGGGAAGTCTGCCGGTGGGGCCCCCGTTTGTGGACACGAGCTCAATCTGGTCGTTGAAGCTGCCGCAGTGTTTCTTTTCAGCCCGGTAGTGCTCAATGAATCATCTTCGGTACCTCCCGGGACGCAGTACAGATCCAGACGATATTCAACGCCGCTACAGCCGTATATCGGGTCGTCGGTCACTGTCGCATATACTTGCTCAGCATTCACAAGATCCGAGGTGATGCTAGTGTGAGTGAAGTAGATGGCGTAGCAATAAAGGCGCGGAAGAGGATTTGTTGCCCGCCCACGCCAGACCGCCGGATTGCCGGTGTGGTCCTGGAACGGGAGAACGTGCTTCTTTGTTTTATAAGCAGCCTGTCCATCTGGGCCAAAACCAGATGCCATTGTGAAGGGACTCGTGAGATTCAAACAAAGGAATGCACACGTCCAAGCCAAGATCTGGCGATTGAAAAACATTGCCAAGGTCTGGGGTTTAGTGTTCAGAGTTTAGTGGATAGTGCTATTTAGGTACAACGAGTACAGAAACCGTAGCATGCGATCGATTTTTACTTGTGAGGTCTCTGTTTTTAAGCTAGAGATTTAACGGTCGCGGGTCCTGATTCAACACCGGGTAGAGGCATGATGGTGCTATTCTTGAAATTTCAATGACCTGTTTCGTTATGTAGGTCCAACTTGTCGAATAACTCAGTGTTGCACTCGGCATCTCGAGTAAAACCAGCAACGCTGAGGCCAAAGCGTCTCGTAGACCAACGATAAAAGGAACACACAATTCCCTTCCACATTTCTGTTAATGCAAGCTGAACGATCCCTATATCAAATCCTGAAATCTTCGAGAAACCTCGGCCGGGAACCCGGGAGTCATTCCCAATTGTGATGCATCATTCGAATCAAGAACCTCCCCGATCGGGCCGAGTTTGTTTTGCCCAAAAGCATCAAAAAGGCCCATCAAATCGTCGCTCATTTGATACACATCTGGGATTGACCCTCGTGATGAGGCCGCATTGCCAGGCAACATATCACTAAGCATAAAGTCGACAGCGGTAGGATCAACATTCCAGCCCAGATCTTGAGCCATGTTACAATCATCTCCAGATCTGTCTGTTTCGCGGGTCGCGTCTTTGCTCAATGGATCGGTGCTGTGTGTGTTTTGAAGCTCTAGTCCCAGAGCCTTGACTGCCGGAACTAGGCCTCGAATGCTCCTCCACAGCCGCTTACTCGCGAGACTTGATCGCGAAAAACCTCTGATCAGGGAGATGGATGCTGAAAAGCTCTCGCGACAAGGTGCGGAGAATATCTCCGGGGCGTTGCAAACGGCCAGGAATATGATGGCTAGAGCGCTCAATAGGAAATAGTTGAAAGCCGACTGTTGTCTGATATAGATGTCGCTAGTGTTGGCAAGATCAACTAGAATCTGTATCGAGTCTTTGGCAATATCCACCACTAGCCTAGCATTTGTGATATCAGCGTGAATAAGACTGGATGAGAGGACATGATGACGATGGATGAGTGTCCGCATGTGGTTGCCTCGCAGGTACAAGAGCGTCTGGAGTCGACGAATCGTGCGCGGCAATGATCTTTGCGGTAAACTCAATCGAGGGTGCAACAATTGGAGATCTGGTGGGATACTGCTCGACCATTTGTGTGCCAGGAAGTCGAGGTACTCGACCTTTTCTGACGAGACAGCCGTGGCAGAAGGTCCGAATGTTGGCAGCGATTCCCATACCTTGGAAGCAAGTCGGCTATAACCAATCAAGCAACGTAAATATTGGAAAGATTCACTCTTCGGATGGTTAGCTGACCCCACCAAATAGATGGATCGCGTAACTGACTGGTTCGGGTAATTCAGGATCGATGTCCTTTTCATTGAGTGAGAAGGGAAGACCTGTACCAAAACTCCATCGCCGGTCCAGTGCATAGACGCACCAAAATGCCTTTAGTGCCATCTCCCTTTGATTTGGGTCTTTGTAGTTTTCGTTGATGCTTCGTTTGAGGTGAAGTCCCATTTCAAGGGCCATGCGGGCTGCGATGCCAATTGTTCGCCAGGCTAGGAGCTCCTCGTCGCTGTGAAAGTAGTATATACTCTGCATTACCAAAGCTTAGCAGGGCTCATTGAATATCTGGCTCAGAGTACTAAATGGCTTACCAGAATAGCCAGTGACTGAAGGTCTCGCATGTCCACGCTTGGTGACTCAGTGATGCGGGCGACAGTCTGTCCGCTTGACTCAATAAGCCGTCGGCTCACATCGTTTCGTCCATGCGCCTCTATCACGATGGCCACGGCAAGGATTGTCTTGAGTACCCTGATGTCACCGAATGTGCCATGATTGGTTCCGTCTCCTATGCCATCTCTACTATCATGGTTGCCGCTCTGCAGTCCCGAAAGAGTCTCTCCAAGACTGTCTGCGAGTTTTCCACTCTCAACGAAGGGATAGATGGTTTCGACTTCTTCTTGGAAAACGCCTATCAGACGAGCAATTTCAGCCCTGGAAAAATCTAATAGAGGGTCATCGGTTGACCCACGGTCGCCCGCACTGGCGCCGTCGTTGCTTGGCTCCGCCGATTGAGCACGAGGCGATGGCATGGCTGACGGGATAACACTCGATTGCAGCGCATCATTGCTCGATAGACCCTTTTCGACCAAAGACGTCTTGGCGACATCAAGGCTGTACTGAGACCGCGTATGGCCAACGAAGAGTGGCTGGTGCGGTTCACTGCTGTCCTGTTTCTTTGATGTGTATGTTCGGTCATTTCTAGGGCTGCTAGTGTCGGCGGTAGCGACAGTCTGCATCTTATTCTGAAGGTCCTTAACGCAGTCTGTAAGACGTTTGACTTGTTCTTTCAGCCTAATAAGTTCATCATCCGCATTGGTATTCCCGTGCCTCTTTTCCGCTCTGGATTGCTGCTGTGCACGGCTCGCACTTGTGCGTGTTGTACTGCTCTGACGGTCTCCGCCCCCGCCAGCTTGAGAGTATGTGCAGTCGGTCTCTGCGCCAAGGCAGCTTTGGCAGTCGTTTGATGATGGACTCCGATAGCATTTGGTCTTTCGATCCCTGCACCGGTCGCTGTATAATAATTCTAAGTAACGGGATGTACTTTTTGGGGCAAAATGGTTTGGGCACTCACCATGCTACCAGCGCATACTTGCCGCGTTTGGCCCGCTCATGGTTATGGTCGGGCGCAATTACTCGCTTGGATCCCTGAGCGTGTGGACTCATATTTTGCTGCACATGAGAAGAAGAACATGACAATCGCCCGTCTTCGGGACAAAAAACGAAGCCGGGGGCGGGAAAAGTGTGCAGGATTATTATTGTCAGGAGGAGGTGATTCAAATTTAGACTTAAATCCTGGCATCGCCCATTTGGTTCCGGGAGGTTCGCGGTAGTAATCGTGGAGGGTGGGAATCTGGAGTAGCCCCCCAGGATTCTTCTCCACGCTTTCAATGACTCTTGTGGGGAGACACAGTGCGGGCAAATGCCCCGTGCTACAGGTACCGACCTAAGCTTCCTTAGGTCTCCCCGCTAGGCCTTGGATACTACAATGTAGGTACGCTATACCCTTGGTCTGGATTGAACTGACGGGCTCTATTCCGCCCGTGCTGGCAACATTCGCCCTTGCTATTTCTTCAAAGAATGTACACTACGATAATACCGAGACAATTATCATTTCAAGTTCTTGTCTTTGACTTCCATGTCTATATTGAGCATGTACACTCTTCCTGCCATCATGTTCAAGTGGACCAGAAATCCTCGTCCAGTGCTGGCAGAATCTGACCGGAACATTCCCCAAAACCCACCAAGCCCCCATCCACTTGACCAGCCGCGCCAGTAATGATAATGGTATCGCCATCCTGCACAAACATTCGCTCCTCTCCGCTATTCAATTTCACTGGGTGTTTTCCAGCTTGTGTCTGTTCCAAAATACTGCCGTACGTGCCCGACTCGGTACCTGAGATTGTTCCAGAACCCAGCAAGTCGCCAGTCCGCAGATTGCATCCAGTCACTGTGTGGTGCGCGATCATTTGCTCCCACGACCACAAAAGGTTCTTGGAGGATGTACGTGACAGAGTCGTCGCGCCACCTTGGGGTGCTTTAAAGAAGTTAGTTTGAACCTCTCGTCGTATTACTGGGCTAGGACTTACTCTTGAGAGAAACCTCCAAGTTAATGTCCAGGGCAGCGTCTGATTGATCTTGCTTCAGATAGCTTCGCAATTCGACCGGGTTATCCAAACCCTTTGTTCGGAATGGCTCGAGTGCATCCGCCAACACGACCCATGGACTAATCGTGGTGCCAAAATTCTTGGCATTAAAGGGTCCTAGTGGGACATACTCCCAAGTTTGCACATCTCTTGCACTCCAGTCGTTCATCAGCACATAGCCAAAGATGAAATCAGCCGCTTCCCGCGTTTTCACGGGCTTTCCAAGCTCATTCGGTCGCGAAATGAAGAGCCCGAGCTCCAGCTCGATGTCCAACCGCCGTATAGGCCTAAAAGTCGGCACTTTGGGCTCGGCCGCCGGATCAAGAATCACTTGGCCCCATGGACGATGAAGAGGTGTACCAGAGGCAACCACAGAGCTAGCACGTCCATGGTAAGCTACCGGCAGGTGGTTATAGTTCGGATTCAGGGCGTTCTGTGGTCCGCGGAATAGGGTGCCGACATTGAATGCATGGTTCCGTCCCGCGAAAAAGTCCGTGTAGTCACCGATTGACAGAGGGAGGTGAGTCTGAACATCCGTGAGAGAGACGAGGGCTTTTCCCTTGAGTTCATCATTCTTTTCAAGGACCTCCGGGTGGGGACCATCAGCTGCAAAGACGGATTGAAGGTACTGCCGCACGTCACGATGTGTTGCTCGACCCAAAGCCGCAAACTTGTTCAAAGTCGAAGAATTGAAAACTTGTAAATGAGATGCGAGTTGAGGTAGTTTAGAGAACCCTCCTCCGTTGGAAAATGCCAGCAGATCCAATGCATGGTCTCCAATGGCGACGGCGGGTCGTGGCGTTGAGTTGCTGTTTGTTGAAATGATGCCGAATGGAATATTGGCCAAGCTAAAGTGCGAGCGTGGTGGGATAGAAACCCACGACTTCAGAGCAGACATGTTGATGATTCGAAAAGACATGCAATGAACCACAGCTTGGACTTTTTTGTTGTCTACACAACGCTTGATGGTCTTTGGGCATAAATACTAGCAAAACGCCTTTGGTTGTCTATGTTTCCAAGTACGTAACTCTGGTGAATGGCCTGGACAGTTTACAGGCGGCCATATGCTTTGCCTAATGCGGAAAGGCCCGACAGTACCGACAGTCCCGAAAATTCCGATGAGCGAAACTGTTCCGAAAACTTGGCGGGGCAGACACAGTATACTCGGCGCCGCGCGGAACGGCACGCAGTAATTGGTGGATCGCAACCCATGTTCGACATGGGCTTTGGTAACAATCTTGCACTGCCGTCGCCAGAGCTTTTGGTTATGCAAATGTATTCAAGTGTGTAGTATAAAAGGATACGCATGCTATATTAGTCAATATGGTCACGTCAATTGATACTTGAGGCACTTCGCTACTGAGCACCAATCCTCCACGATGCCTGTAACAAATTTCAGAACGAATGAGAGATACGAATATCTCAATGGTTTTGGATCCTATCACGAGTGAGATCACTCTCCCTGACCATGCAATTAAACCGAGCTAATATTTCTCAGGTCCGAGGCCATCTCGGGCGCCTTACCAATAGGCGCAAACTCACCTCAAAAGGCTCCCTTTGGCCTATACGCTGAGAAGCTCTCAGGGACTGCCTTCACTGCACCGCGTCACGAGAACCTACAGACTTGGCTGTACCGTATACTCCCATCAGCAGCTCATTCTGCCTATGAGCCGTACCAAGGCAGTAGCAGCACTGGTGCTCTCAGTCCCGATGATGCGGACACGAAGCTGCATCAGATTCCCAATCAGCTTCGATGGGATCCTTTTGACTTTAGCGAGGACACGGACTGGGTTCAAGGCTTGAAGCTGGTTGGCGGTGCCGGTGCGCCGCAAACCAAGACTGGGTTGGGTATCTTCATTTTCGCAGCCGGAAAGGACATGGCTCCGCGAACCGCGGTCTATTCGTCCGATGGTGATTATCTCATCGTTTTACAGCATGGTGTCTTGGATATTCAGACGGAGCTAGGCAAGATTCTCGTGCGACCAAATGAAATTGCTGTTATCCCGCGCGGGATCAGATACCGCGTCACGCTGCCCGAGGGTCCAGTTCGAGGGTATATTCTCGAGCTTTATCAGGGCCATTTTACCCTGCCAGAACTCGGCCCCATCGGATCCAACTGTCTCGCCAACGCGCGGGACTTTCAAGCACCCGTCGCTGCGTTTGACGAGGATCACGACTCTGATTGGACAATCATCAACAAATTTGACGGCAAGCTGTTCTCTGCAAGACAAAAACACACTCCCTTTGACGTGGTAGCCTGGCACGGCCGCTATTATCCTTACAAGTACGATCTTGGTCGCTACTCTGTAATCGGCAGTACCTCGTTTGATCATCCCGATCCCTCAATCTACACGGTCCTGACCGCGCCTTCCGATCACGTCGGAACCGCCGTGGCGGATTTTGTCATTTTTCCGCCTCGCTGGCTGGTGCAAGAGGACACGTTCCGGCCACCGTGGTATCACCGGAACACCATGTCCGAGTTCATGGGACTCATTTGCGGCGACTATGACGCCAAGGCCGGGGGCGGATTCCAACCGGCGGGAGCGAGTCTGCATAACATCATGTCTGCTCACGGACCAGATGCGAGCACCTTTGAAAAAGCCAGTAATGCGGAGCTGAAGCCTCAGAAGATTGGTGAAGGAAGCATGGCTTTTATGTTTGAGAGTAGCTTAATGATCGGTGTGACGGAATGGGGACTCAAGACTTGCAAAAAGGTGCAGGACGGTTATAATGAGCACAGCTGGACCGACTTGAAGGTGCATTTCAAACGACCTTCTTGATGGATTGCAGCAAGCCGAGGTCCAAACCATAGATGAATGCAGCACAACCTTGCGCTTTGTATCCGAAATTCTGTTAATAAGAGATCTTAATTAAATTGACTGGGCTTCCTTGCGTCATGTAACACTGCAATCAAGGGGATAATATTATCGGTGACTATGTTATGATAGTCAATTGGGCATGCTTTTAATGTTTAAAATAGAAATTCCTTCTCAGCGGACTATATACATCAATTACTTATGTGAAAACTGGTGTGCATTTTTATTGTATGTTTCCGATGCTAAATTATGTAAGCAGAGGTCTACGCGAGATGTTGTGTTATTTCTGTTTCCTTATTGTGGGGCACAAAGAGTATCTTTTATCGTGAGGAAATGTTTAGTTGTCTTGACTGAAGTATTGTTTCAATTCTTATGTTCATGTGCTACCGAAATAAATAAGTTTGGAATGACTGATGTACACCGACTTCTGCTCAATTAATATACATCAGTAGGAATTGAAACCGATGTAACAGTAGCCACATTGACATGAGGCACTTCATACTTGTTCTTTCCACGAACCAAGTAGTATATAAACCCAAAGACCAGCCACCCAACCATGACAACTGACGAATAATTCATATTCTCCGGCGTAACTGGCATTGTTCCAGGAAATGTGCTAAATACCATCACCAATGTCATCCACATGACACTCACGATATTGAAAGTAATCCCAAGAGGCCGCCCTAGCCGGAATGGGCCCCAATGACCGGCAACATGCTTTTGCCTCCCATATAGAAGCATGTATATAATAGGCAGCGTGTATGAGAGGTAAAGGCCTATGATTGCCATTGATAAAATAGCATTAAAGGCCGCAGTGCTGCCAAGGTAGATGAAACCAAGTAGTACCTGTATGACAGTAACTAATATGATGCAATTTGATGGTACTTGGTGCTTTTTGGATACTTTGCAAAAGACCTTGTCAAAAGGCAAAGCCTTGTCGCGGGCAAATGCCCAGGCAGTTCTCGAAGCTGATGTGACGCACGCCACGTTTGCAGTAGCGGCAATGATGATCAGCAGCAGCGACATGACTGTGGCCCCGGCACGAGACTTTGTGGCGTCTAGATAAATCTGCATGAACGGAAAGCCTGTCGGCGTTGCCAAGATGTCTTCCAGGGAGCCAATGGAGAACAAGAGCACAATACAGTATGCCACGCCGATGAGCCCATTGACCACAACGCTGCCAACCATGGCTATGGGGACGTTGCGAGCAGCATGCGGTATCTCTTCCGACAGGTGACAAGCAGCGTCGTATCTGGTGGGTAAGTAAGCATCTCTTCCCCAGAAGCAAGCTGTCGAATACTCACCCTAGCAAAGGGTACACTGAACTGATAAGTCCGACCAACCAAGACACCCCGTCGGATGTCCACCCACTGTTGTTCGAGAACTCAGTAAAAACAAAGGTTGCTGAATTCTTCTGCGCCATCACGAGAAGCACGACCACAATTGCGAAAAACCCCGCGGCATGAATCACCCCTGATTTCAAGATCAGTCATAAGCTCTCCATTGTGTCATGAAAACTTCTGACCTACCAGCCACAATGTTGATATGAGGCAATAATCGAGGTCCCCATATGTTAAAGCTAAGAGAACAAGCGAGCACCGCCCAATAAAATAGCATGCCTTGCCATCTTGTAGGTATATAACTTTCGTCATTCAAGATAATGAGGGACTGTGTCTGTAGGCCTGCAGCAAAAGCTGCCGAAGCACTAAAGACAATCTGTGCGCCGAGAGATATCCAGCCGGTAAAGTACGATGCGAAACAACGACCGCTTGGTGGGGATAGTGCAGCCACCCAATAGTATTGTCCTGTTCATCGTAGTAGTTAGTAATTTGTCCGTAAACTTGTTGGTGACTGTCACTTACCTCCAGCAGTGGGATACATGGAAGCTATCTCGGCCAGAGAGCAAGTCACAGCAACCGTACATATAAACGAAAGAAGACTGTTTCGCTTCGTCAGAGGCTTCTGGACATGGCGTGTGTCAGTTTGTAACTCAACTCACTAGTTGTAGAATAGACATGGTGCACCACCGCTGACTAGAGCGGCAGAGACGACCGTAGACAACGCTTCCCATGTGGCCATCAGACATAGGCAGAGACAGCCCATGGCTGGAAGAGAAAAGGACCTTTCCAACTCTTGGGCATAACCTGCCGCATTTAGCTCGGCGGCATCTTGGTCGTTTGGGTTTGAGGCGACCAGACCGATAGGGGCAGCAGCCGGATCCGCCTTCTTGTCGCTAATAGAGTCTTGATCGTTTGTCATGGTTGAGCAAGGGGGTGGTCAGTAGATGTCGAATTGAAAAGAAATGTGGTAAGATGATCAGGCCATTCAAAAGTCGGTAGGAAGTTTGCTTGTTCATCTTGTGGCATATAGATGTTGGCCGAGTTTGGAATCACAAGAACCCTCATTGGCTCGCCCTAGGGGGCCCATCTCCATGTCGCCGCAATCTGGGGTAACGGCTGGGCGGCACACAGATTTGGGGTTCCCCACGGGGTTGATACTCACACTGTGAATATTCCCCGCAGCCATTCCGAGTTTTGTAGGGAGATTTCCGCGACGTTCCGAGTTGCTCGGCTCGTACTGATTGTCGATTCGGCAGATGGTATCTATGAAAGTGTTTTTACATGAAGATCAAGTCTGATTGGATGAATCTTTCTGGCCCACTGCGCCTGTTGTCATGTTGCATAAAACCCCCGACCTTGGAAACTTTGACCTAGTGTCTCGCATGGACGTGCTTTCGGGGATCTATTGACACACCAATCCGTATCGGAAAGAACGGAAAATCTCATCGGAAGAGGTTGACAGACATACACCGATACTCGCCCACTTTGGTTGTATTCCTGATGTGAAACCTTTGGTGATTTGCTGGATGCCCCGGGCTAGTTTTGCCTTCCGAGCGTGGCAATCTTCGGGACGGAAGCACTGGACGACAGTCACAGCGACAGAGTAATACAATGCACGATCCAAGGCAGTTCTGGGCGCCATGCTGTGTGATGCTGCTTGCCAATTTGTAACATATAATGCCAACCATGTAGTCTATGTGGAAACGAACTTGTAACCATTGATGAATCCATTTGACTTTTGGCAGCCACATCTGTTAAGAATCAATCCAGGTAGCCATGGCGATTGCAACACTTTTCATCGACCTCCAAAACCATGTTGCTGGCCACACATGGGCGTCAACACTATTGCTGATAACCGCGGTGCCAATCATCTACGTCGTCTTCAATGAGGCTATCAGAGCAAATGCACGAATTTCCGGCCTCAAGGGTCCTAGGGGACTCCCTTTGATCGGCAATATTTGGGACATTCGTACCAATGCGGCGGAACGGTACCGTCAGTGGTCAAAATCGTATGGTGGTGTTTTCCAGATTCAACTTGGAAACATCCCAGTGGTGGTGGTGAATACGGCAGCGACAGCAAAAGTCATATTTGGACAAAATTCCCAGGCTCTTGCTTCACGACCCGAGTTCTATACGTTTCGTGAGTAGTCCCATGTTCAACCCCGACACGGTTTGAGAACTTCTCGTCCATATGATCTGCACTTGGTCCATGATCTAATCCAGCGATAAAAATTCTAGACAAATTGGTGTCAGACACCTCTGGCACAACCATTGGAACATCCCCGTACAGCGAGTCGCTAAAGAGGCGCAGAAAGGGCGCGGCCTCTGCTCTCAACCGTCCATCCGTCGCTACATACGTACAACACCTCGACGTCGAGTCCAAAGACTTTATCAAGGAGCTCTACACATACGGAAAGGGCGGCAAAGAAGCTGTCGACCCGATGCCCATGATCCAGAGACTGTCGCTTTCGCTGGCACTAACCTTGAACTGGGGAACACGCATGGGCAGCCAAAAGGAGGATTTATTCCACGAGATCACACATGTTGAGGAGGAGATTAGTCGCTTCCGCTCCACCACTGGGAACCTGCAGGACTACATTCCCCTCCTCCGCATCTTGCCGTTCAATACGCACTCGGCCAAAGCGAGAGAGATGCGCAACCGGCGGGATGTATATCTCACCAACCTGAACCGCGGACTGGACGAGCGCATGGCATCCAACAGCCACAAGCCCTGCATCCAAGCCAATGTCATCAACGACGCTGAAGCCAAGCTAAACAAGGAAGAGTTGACGTCCATCAGCCTGACAATGCTGTCAGGTGGACTCGACACCATCACCACTCAGGTCGCTTGGTTCTGCGCGTTGCTGGTCAATAGACCCGACATACAGGACAGGGCAGCGCAAGAGATCCAAAAGTTCTACAGTGACGACAAGCCTCTGTGCGACTCCGAGGACGACCAGCAGTGCGCATACATTGTCGCCTTGGTCCGCGAATCTTTGCGCTACTACACTGTGCTCAGGTTGGCGTTGCCAAAGTGTTCGATCAGGGATGTTGTCTACAACGGCGTTACGATACCCAAGGGCACTGTTGTCTTTCTGAACTCGTGGGCATGCAACATGGGTATGTCGAATGTCATCCAAATATCATTGTTCCCTCTATCGATATGTTCTCAGCTAATTTGCATTTCTTCTGCAGATGACGAGACCTGGTCTGACCCAGAAGTGTTCCGTCCTGAGCGCTACCTCGAGCAACCTGATGCGCCCATGTTCACCTATGGCATGGGATACCGCATGTGTGCCGGCTCCCTACTGGCAAACCGCGAGCTGTACCTGGTCTATATGCGACTTTTGAATAGTTTCCGGGTCGAGAAGTACGATGAAATTGATTCGCACCCGCTCACTGGCAATTCGGATCCCACTAGTCTCGTCGCCATGCCGAATCGCTATCGTGCCTTGTTCGTGCCGCGCAACCCGGCGGCGTTGTCGGAAGCCTTGAGTGCCAAGTGATGGCAAGGGGTATGAGGAATTAAAGTAGTGAAACTTTTTTTCTCCATTCTTCAGTATGCATCTACTGCGGCGACAGATGTCGATTCAGCCATAGAACCTCTCAAAATTCAAATTGGTATCAAGAATGCGGCCATTGGTTTTCAGGAGTCATATTGTTACGAAAAAATGGATGTGTGTATGTCAGGATATGCTAGTCTCAAAGAGATTCCAAGACATTGAAGTCGAAACTCTCATTTGGGAAAACGCTGTGTTGGCTGGTACTGAAGTCTCCCCTCTGTTTGAAAGTTACTAGGTCGTCGGGCCGAGGGAGGTTCGAGTGTGGGGGAAGCCGAGAAGGCGACAATGTAGTTACATGTATTGTGGCAAAGAGAAGAAGCAAGTCCATGCGGAACACAATAGCACCGAAATACCTATTTTGATCGCGGGACCATAGGTCATGTTAAGGATGCCGATTCGCCGTTCCCAAAAGGGACTGCTAGGGACGCTGTGCATCCGGCTTCCGAAAGCGATAGAGCCCCAACCAGAACAGGGTTCGCATACTCCATTCCGACAGAGTACACCTTGGAGGGGTCTATGGTATATAAGCAAGCAACATTGAAGGCTCATACCGGAAATTCATTTGCTAAAGCCCGTGTGCAAAGCTGATTAGTGTGATCTTATGTAATAGAAGTTCATGCTTATTATCCTGACGCTTGATTATCGACCAAACATCCCACAAGCATCTTTTTCAAGAACGTCAAGCAGGTGCCTATTTAGTTTTAATATTTCACTGAACTCATATCAACCACGAGGAATAGTCACATTAATTATGAATTTTGCAATATGTAGCAGTAGTTATCATAAAAGACATGTTTCATAACCCGTCATATGTAGTTAGATGGGAAACTATCAATATTTATGCTTATATACGAGTAATGATGATGTAATAATTACCCGCCGCTTAATTCATGGCCATTCCGACTCATAACAAATAGTGGAATGTTTTCTGTAATACCTCTTGGAGCCTTCTCTCAGCTTTCAAGGGTAACTATTATGCTCTTTAAAGAACCGATGATTTGATTAAATACGCAAGATGTATTTTCCACCATTGATCAATCTTGTGGCCCAGGTCGCGGTGTCGTGGTTATTGATTTACTGACAAGTACGATCTGTCTATCTCCTACTATATGCACTATACATGGCAGGGTAACTATCATCGGCGTCTAGACGCCTTCAAGTATAAGTATGAGTACTGTGGTTGCTGCACAATCTTTCCGAGGTCCCACAAGTGCTCACCTTACCTACTTCCAGTACCACAAGCTGTACGGGTCTTTGAATAGTTTTCATCATGTACTTCACCAGTCTTGTGTCGGTCCTGCCATTCGTTGGCCTCACCTCGGCAGCAAGCGTTGTGGGATCGGCTTATGGCTTTGCCAAAGGTGTGACGCCTACTGGTACGACTGTGACACCAACGGACAATGCGCAGTAAGTCTTACAACACGGGCACCACGCTCTCAATCACTGTTCTCACAAGATGGATAGACTTACCTCTTGGCTGGGCGACTCCACGGCAAGAGTCATTGTCTTGACCAAGACCTTTGATTTTGCAACTGCTACCACGACTGGAGCTGCCTGCAGAGCAACCGACAAGTGCTCTGGAGGACAAGATACCATCAAGACGAGTTGCGACTCCAATGAGACTCCGATTGTTGCCACCTACAACCCCCAGGCCACCAAAGGCATCTCTGTTGCCAGCAACAAAGCCCTTGTTGGAGTTGGCTCGACTGGCGCCATCAAGGGCAAGGGTCTTTTGATCGCTAGTGGCTCCAAAAATGTTATTGTGCAGAATATTCGCATCACGACCCTCAACCCACAGTATGTTTGGGGTGGTGATGGCATCAGCATTGAGGGTGCTGATGGAGTCTGGATCGACCATTGCACATTCGATAACATTGGCCGCATGTTCATCGTATCTCACTACGGTCCTAACCGTGTCACCGCATCGTACAATTACTTCAATGGAGCTACTTCCTACTCGAACTCGTGCGACGGTCAGCAATACTGGGGAACCATGTACGTCGGTGACTCGGACAAGGTGACCATTGACCACAACTACTACTACAAGATGAGCGGCCGCTCTCCAAAGCTGGGCGACAGTTCGTATAATACCTACTTTCAAGCGACCAACAACTACTTTGACACCTCGAGCGGCCATTCCTTCGACATTGTCAAGGGCACATATGCGCTTATCGAAGGCAACTATTTTAGCGGTGCCAAGACTCCCATGACCACGGATAGCACCACCAGCGGGGCTTACATCTTTGATAGTCCCTCGTCTTCCCTATCGACGTGCTCATCCTACCTCGGACGTTCCTGCGTCGTTAATTCTCTCACCAGTTCGGGTACCCTGCCATCACTTTCCAGCACAGATGCTCTTTCCAAGCTGTCTGGATCTTATGGGACTTATATCATCACGCCAGAGTCGGCGAGTTCAGCCCAGACAAATGTGGCAGCCAAGGCAGGACAAGGCAAGGTTTGATGGATAGGCGCGCATGAAACGTTGGGCTCATTCTAGTGTCGAGATGCTCTAGGACCATTGTATATCATTCTTTTCGTCATTGAGAAATGCTTTGATATGGAGGTTGCATTATGCTTTTAGATAAACATACTTGGCCACCTCTACCTTGGGATGAGTTGCAAATGTGAATTACTTGCTCCAAAAATATCTGACACCGTTGTAAGTGAACAGAGAGTCGTATCGAAAGTCTTGATGGGTTCTTCACAAACGGCCACCAAACTAGACGAGGCTCGACTATACGGTTGTTGCTAAGAGTCTGTCGCTGGTAAACTGGCAATGAAGTCACATGGTTCTCTTTATCTGAGTCGCCATTTATTGTCGGTTAGATGGCTGGAGAGCTCTCGCAGCTAGCACGTGTTGAATTATTGTAGGAACCTCGAGGACAATCCTTTCCACTTCAGCCCCGCACTGTCAATACTTAACCTTAAGCTTAACCTACTGCTAAATTCACCATGCAATCACCCACCCGCCTTCATTGCTACTTATTCGTTCAATGGCAAGCGCAACAAGTCCACAGTATATACGAAAAAACATGTAACCAAGAAAAGTATCAGTGATTCCAGTCGAAATATCAAAATTGGCGCTGAAAAGTGTGTTCGCATATAGTTGGTTCAGTTGACACTTTTATGCAACATCCTTTTATTGCTTGCCGCAGTTATCCCGTGATAGAAAGCAATAGCAGACCAAGAGGGATGGCTGTCCCTGATGCGGGCTGCACAGAATGCATTTGATACTACCAAGGTACATTATGTAGGGGTAAGTTCCTAGGCATAGCTACCAGGTAAGTACACCTCCTCAAGGATTATAAACGTTAGATCGTTACTTGCCCCACGCAGTGACCCAGCACCTCCCATCGGAATTTTACCACCCAAAAAAAGCCAATTTTCTATCTACTTTTATATCTAGTGCTGGAAGCTTCCGCAACCCGTACACAAACAGCATACATTATAGGGAGAGATACCTAACAGATCAGAGGGTTAGTGAGTGGAGCTTTGTACCGATCTAACATTTATAATCCTCGAGGAGGTGTAAGTGCCAGGTCGACGCTCGGAGCAAATGCAGCCAGCCATCAAGCCCCGGTCCCACAAAGCCTCTGCGGCAATACCCGTCGCCCCTAAGAATTGGCCTCAGGACCCTGGCCACTAGCCCCTCGGCATCGCGTTACTGTGCAGGTATTTCTCAATAAAACGAGTAAAAGGACTGGATTCACCAACTGGTTTGATACTCAAGTCCGGCCACGATAGGTGATCACGATATTCTATTTCTGTATTTTCCTTCTTTTTCCTCTTTTTTTCCTTCTTTTTTTTCACACAATTTGCAAAAAGTTTCACCCTTTGTCAATCTGCGCGTGTTTACCTCTGCGGGTAAAATGGTCGCGTACTCCGTTTTTTCCGCTACGGATTTTCGCCGCGCTATGACATGTAGTGGGACTTGCTGCATAAAGGATTCCAGCTTTGTGTATTTCATTGGTTCATTCGGTGATAACCTTAATTACCCTGGGCAATACCACAATTTGCAGTTATCAGCAATTCTTGCCAGAGCTGCGAGCCATGTTGGAATCTTTAGCAAAAAGTCAGGTACGAAAATAGTATGAGACCCAGTCATTTTTGCTTGTAATGGAGGATTTTTAAACTAGTTGCCGGCCCCATCATGTTGCTTCGAGGTCTCTTTACATCCAAACTGAACACACGTCGCAGAATGTCGATTTGAAGAGTCAAACACGGGCGCCCGAGAAAAAGACTTTAATGCCGTCTCATGGGACTGAATACGAATCTTGAATGAATTTGCAAATGTTTACAAGATATGCCGACGAATTGCGTCATTGTTCCCTGTCGATAAGAAAATTTGGATCTCGCCATCGCGATAACCGTAGAATTAGTTGACTGCCTGCCGGCAAATCCATCCTCAATACGACCTCTCCATTGGCGTGCATATACCCTGGTAAATATCGCAATTTCATTACTCATCTGGGCAGCTTATCTATCGGGTCGTCCGAAGTTCAAATATCTCATCCCTCGCCAACGAGACCACATCATCCATCTATTCGACAAAATAATCAATCTCCAGAATTCTCGAGTTATCAATATCATAATGGCAATCAAGACCGTCGCAGTCGTGGGCGTAAGTATCTTGTTACCATGTTGGAGCTCATAGTCTGATTCTCGTTCCAAGGCATCAGGTTTGGTAGGTGCGCGTGTGGTGGAAGCTCTTCAGGCAGCCAACTTTGACGTCACGGCCGTGACGCGTGAAGAGTCCAAGGCGACATTTCCCTCCAATGTGGCGGTGCGCCGCGCCGACCTGTCTTCGGTCGAGTCGCTGACTGCCGCGTTTGCCGGCCAAGATGCCGTGGTCTCTGCCGTATCGACAGTCTTTGCCGTCATTCCCGGCGCGCAGAACCCCATGATTGATGCAGCTGTGGCTGCGGGTGTCAAACGCTTCATCCCTTCGGAATACGGCCTCAACACTAGAAAACTTCAAGGAGAGATTCTAGGAGACTGGCTAAAGGCAAAGACATCTGCGGTTGACTATTTGATCGAGAAGGCGCAATCGAATCCAAGCTTTACCTGGACTGGTATTGGTACTAGTCTCTTCTTTGACTGGGTGAGCATTGTTTTGGGACAAAGGTGGTCGAAGAAACCAGACTAATGCTTTGGCAGAGTCTCACGCGCGGCATCTATGGAATCTCATTCAAGGATAAGACTGCAACAATCTTTGATTCGGGCAATCAGAAGATCTCGACGACCAGTTTAGCCTTCCTTGCCAAGACGGTTGCTGCAGTCTTGCAGCACGATGACAAGACCGCCAATCAGTACATTGACGTGATTGAGTTTACCGTGACGCAGAACCAGGTGCTAGAGGCTATCGAGGCTGAGATGGGGACCAAGTTTACAGTCACACACGAATCAACTAATGAGGCGGAGAAGAGAGGACACGAAAAATTGGCTAGAGGCGACCAATACTTTCCCTTTGTGGATTTCTTGATTGCCTATTGGTTTAGAGATGGGCCTGGACATGCTATCAAGGAAGAGGACAAAGCCAACAAGACTTTGGGTCTGCCACAAAGTGATTTGAGGGCTGTTGTCAAGGAGTATCTTCAGACTTTGTAAAGTGGCAGACTGCGCCACCGCTGATCCATCAATCAAAGATGCTTTCGTAAAAGACCATCATGGCACCCTGGTGAACCGTCTTGGCAAAGCTCTTGAGCTCGGCATGCGCTTTGCATTCGTTGTCGTAGAATTGCATATCCTCCAAGCTTGAGAATACTGAAACTACTGCAACGGTGAACCCTTGGGCGCGTTGATCAGGAAACGCTCGGCCAGGCTTGACCGACAGTATGTATGGTTTGCCATCCTAAAATGATAGACAGATCAGTAAATGAGAAACCAAAGTCACGGGTAGAGCGACCCCACCTTGACAGCCTTCTCAGGCATGTGTCTATATATCTCCAGTAGCTTATCCTGGTCCTCTTGCTTTGGGATTTTGAACAGAGTGATTCGTTGGATGGGTTTGGTGGAAGCCATTTCTAAGCTAGGCAAAAGTTGATTCCGGTTAATTGATAAGAAACACAATGACCAATGCAGATCCTACAGTGTTTGCCAGAATGTTGCTGTTATCCTTGGACATGACCATATCAAGCAGCGCTGGCGCATTGCTCTATGTAAGCGCCAGATATACTTTCAGGCTTGGGCGGGATGTAACATGACTCGCATCTTCTTCCCGTAGAACATGCCGATTCCGAGTGTGGCCTCTGATTGGACATGACGCTGGGAGTGAACTAAGAAGCTGTGGTCATTCGGCCCTCTTCGGAAACAAACTTCTGGCGTCTAGACTACCGACAGGGAGTTGTGCACACAAAGGCTCGGAACCAGCTCGGAATGCTGCTGGCTGCCCCGCATGATCTACACCAATGTCAGACGCCAAACCCCACACAACTGCCACTAGGCACTTGGTATAATCGTACAATCTGGGAGGTGGAGAACATCTCCTTCTGCCTATATGCAATCGTATGCGAAGATTAATAATATCTGACTCTTCTGCTTGCGCAAGTCTGCAAAGGGCGATATATCTTGTGTCTTGTATTCACAAGAAGAGTCAACGTTAACAAAATTTTGTATACCCAAATCGATTCCTGCTGAAGAGACCATCACCAAAGCATGGCTTCCGTTACTTTGACTGGTGCCGAGGGCCGTAGCATAACAGGTATGTGCAATGCGGAGTCCTGGATACCCATGGCCGGCAATATCTGACACGGAATACAGTTCCGACGGGCCTCTTCATTGACAACAAGTTTGAACCCGCAACCAGCGGCGCCACGATTGACGTGGAAAATCCGAGCACCGGGAAGCACCTAGCCACCGTCTCCGCCGCCCAGGCAGAAGATGTCGACCGTGCCGTACAGTCGGCCAAGAAGGCCTATGTGAGCTGGAAAAAGGTTGACTCTGGAGAGAAAAGAAGATTACTCAACAGACTGGCCGATCTGGTCGAGCGAGACGCCGTGGAACTGGCATCGCTAGAGGCCCTCGAGAGTGGAGTGCTGTATGGAGTATCCAGGGCTCTCCACGTTCAGGAGTCAATCAGCAACCTTCGCTACTTTGCCGGCTGGGCTGATAAGCTTGACGGCGACTCCCTCAGCATCCCGCAGGGACTGGCCTACACGCGACGGGAACCCATCGGCGTCTGCGCCGCCATCGTGCCTTGGAACTCACTGATGATTGCGTTCTGGAAGATTGCCCCTGCCCTCGCTACTGGCAATGTGCTCATCCTCAAGACTCCCGAAATCACCCCTCTCTGGGGCTGCAAGCTGGCTCAGCTGATTGCCGAGGCAGAGATCCCGCCTGGCGTTGTGAACATCATCACTGGCCTGGGCAACATTGCTGGCCAGGCGCTGTCCGAGCACAATGACATTAAGAAGATATCATTTACCGGAAGCCCCGGCGTGGGCAGACGAATCTTGGAGACGTCGGCCAAGACCAACCTCAAGAAGGTGTCTCTGGAGCTTGGCGGCAAGGGTCCCAGCATTGTATTCGCCGATGCAGACCTCGAAAACGCCTTGTTCTGGACCACGCTGGGTATCACAGTCAGCAACGGCCAGGTTTGTGCTGCGGGCAGCCGCATCTATGTTCAGGATACCATTTATGAAAAGTTTGTGGAAGAGTTCAGCAAGCGGAGCAGAGATGCCGTCCACGGCGACCCACTGCTTCCAGAGACCACCAAGGGATCTGTTGCCAACAAGGCCCAACTGGACAAGATACTTGAGTATGTCAAGAAGGGCAAAGAGTCGGGCGCCAGACTCCTGCACGGCGGCGAGCGGCTGCCAGGAGACGGCTACTTTATCGCAAATACGGCCTTTGCCGAGGTTGACCAAAAGGCCCCCATTATGCAAGAAGAGGTGTTTGGCCCGCTGGCCAGTATTGCTCCTTTCAGCACACTAGATGAGATCATTGCCAAGGCCAATGATACCAGCTACGGTCTGAGCGCTGCCGTCTTTACCAATGACGTGAACAAGGCCTTTAGGCTCAGCGAGGAGATCGAGTCGGGCATGGTCACGGTCAATGCTTGGGGCATGATTCATGCCAACACACCATTTGGAGGCGTAAAGGAGAGTGGCTTTGGAAGGGATATGGGTAAAGAGGCCCTCGAGGACTGGACGACTACCAAGACGGTCAAGTGGAACATTCTACCCACCAAGTAATCATTGTATCATATCACATTGGCATGTCAAACATACTCCGTGAATCATAGCCAGTCAATGAACATCGAAGCCGTGTACCCACTCTCTTTTGTGCTGCGTCTGGTTCTAGCGGGCGCGCCTGCAATTCTTCTGCACTGGCGCTGGGCCTATCTATCGCGTTGCCTGGGTTCATTTTTGTAGCATTCCTTGCATCTTCATGCCATAGCCACCGTTTATGGGGGTCACTTGGCTCATTTTCGTCTGTATCCAACTGGCTGTTACACGGGATAGGGAAGCCCACCCGCGAAGCAGCACGCGGCTAGGTCAGTGCAGAATGGAGGCGACATGGAGGCGACGCGGAAGCGGGAGGGGAGAGGAAAGTTGTATGCTGTCTGGAAGAGTCAGCGCACAAATATGGCCCTAGGTGCTGCAGATTGAGCTTGGTATAATTACCCTCCCTATATATATTTACGTGATGATTTTTCCTGATAAGCTGTAGGTGACATTATTGTGTTGAAATAAATGACCGGAACTCCAAATTGCAACAGTTTCAAAGCATTGGTAATTCCAAACCTTTACGAGGCGCAGGAGGGTGGGATTGAACTTCAAAGTTGTGTATACTGTGGCGCCTTGAGCTGCATATATTGGTTCTGCGGTCAGCATCGAACGATGTTTCCATCCTAGCAACAAACAAGGTTCTAATCACCTCGAATGCATATATGTCACCAGAAAATGCGGATCAGCTATGCTCATATTCCTTTATCACACTTGTCTAACAAATTAGGTAGTAAACTAAACAAGATCCCAATTCAATCCAGTTTTGCCTGTAACGGAGACTGTACAGCACCACTGTGCGAAATCAAGTCAGGGAAGGCTCTCAAATTCGACTGATGTTCTTTCCCGCCAAACCAAGTGCGTGCCCGAAATACACCAGAATTCGTCGTCAAACCATTCTGACTTTGCCATAAACAGTTCCAGTCGTGACGTACACCAATTATCAAGACTGGGGCAAGCTGTTAGTCGGCAGGACCTAACGCAATCAGATCTGCTCAGTGAAAGTGGCCGTACTCACGAGGGATCACCGAAGGCCACCCGAACCTTGAGCAAACGGCCGGTAGCGCATCCTCAAGTATGTTCTCTATCCGGGGATCTCGGCACTCTTTCTGACGATGAAGACACGGATGGTATCGAAGACGAAGAGGACGAAGATTACGCCTATCAGCCTCGACGGAAAAGTCGTAAAATTTTGTCAGGGCGCAAAACGTTGAATGTGCGGCACAAGCGCTCAAGCGGCATTTCCGCGTTGTCCTCGCGCTCCCCATACCACAGGGAGAATTCTACGGAAACGCCGACCGCGGCATTTGACGAATGGCCACTAGAGAATGCCCTGCTTAAGCGAATCACGGATGGCAGTCAAACTAGCTTCCAAATCCAATTCGCCTGGGCGCCTTGTGTAGCTCACCATCTCCGCCATGACGGAATGGAAAGTCCACGTCATCAGCGATCCTCTGGAACTGGACTTTCTGTGGAGCAACAAGGAGTGAGCCCTGCCGATTACGGTGCGCAAGATCCCGCACAAGATACCTATGAGGAGTATGCTGTGGAGCAGATTCGGAACCATAGATTTGCTAAACCCAATAATCAAGGCCTTGAGCTCCAAGTCAAATGGCGCAACAGTCAACAGCTGACTTGGGAGCCAGTGGAAGCGATGGAAGACACGGCAGCATACGGCACATATCTGCAGCACAATGATGTTTCTCAGCCCCCCATGAAACGCAAACGCAGTCGGCCGAGGAAGCCACGAGTCGAAAGTCCTGCAGATTCTGCCCTTTGATTTCTATACCACATGAACAGTCTTTCCGTTTCCGTCATTATAGACAACCATTGTGCTTACAATATATTCTTGTCTAGCTATAGACTCAATCTTAATACTCACCCGGGCGGCATGTCATGTGTATTATTTCGTGATTTTGAAAAGGTTACTATTATAATTTCCAGAAGTAAACATTCGAACGACTATATCACAGGTTTCTCAGGTAAATCTAGAGTATCGTTGAAGTAGTATGTGAGTTGACACTAATATTATATGGTGAGTATTATAACTGTACTGAGCAGAGAGTACAATAGTTAAGCTGGGATAAACTGACTTAGTGTAATAGTTACAAACGGAATCATCAACCCCGTTCTCTCATTGCTTCCATCTTGTGTCTTTGAGAGCGGACGATTAGTATTCGGCGCAAATGTTTATGTATCTCTACAAACTCACTTGGGATTGTCATCTAAGGGCATAAAAAAGGATAGTACTATAGGAATTCAGTCATTATTATAGTATAGTATGGAGAGAGTATTTCTGTTGTGATATAGTACAGTATAATAGTTGATATCTTCTATGTTAAGCTTCTTAAATCGAAAGTGAAAGTGCGGTTCGGATATTACTCCAGCACTATATGGCTGCTAATATAGTACCTAGAAATAGAATAGTACTTGAACAATTCAATATATCACTTTTCTTAATCAAGGAAAATCATCGACAAGCAAAATTGCATTTTTATTATTGCTTTCAAGCATGTTAACATCTCCTTGGGAAGATCAATCAGCACTAGTGGTTTAGTGGTATAAACCTCCAATGTCAAAGAGATCCTTTTGCTGCTCTAAGTTTCGTCCAGAACAGGCGCAGGTAGCATATAAGAGTACCTAAAGAATTGGCATATGAACTGGAGCGTTACTTAAGGGTACCTGCGGTTCTTAAATAGATACCAACGGCCGATGACACAGGATGCCAATATGGAGTAATCGCCAGGTCCACAGTATAGTGTACCTTGATTATCACATACGACCTTCAGACATCAACCAAGATCCGAGAATGTGGCGATGGGCACTTTTGGGAAGTACTCAAATACTCACACAAGATGAAATGCGGACGGCTATTACGGAAGAAACCGACTCACAATCCAGTCAGTCAGAATGCCAAATGGTCAGGAGGGCTTGTGTGAGCGTTTGTGGCGATGTCGGTGGGTACGGCCAGGATCCTGAAAGCGGCTTTTCTGACGCGATGATCCCTTGCCAGAGGGGTGACGCCGAGGACTCATGCATTAGCGAAATCGAAGAAGTAATGGATCTGAACCATGTCGAACATAGTCAACGGCGAGAAATCGACCGGAGTGATGACCAGAATTCTTACAACTTCGCGGGCGCCTGGGAGGCTCAAACCATGGATAGCATTGTTTCCAGCAGCAACGGACAACGGGATAGATATCCATACGGTCTAGTATTGCTCCAAATTCCCGATCGTCGAGAGAGGTATCGTGTTGGCGTCTTCGCCCCAAACGTCTGGCAGTTCCAGGAAGAGTGCAAACACCATCCTGAGACCGAGCTCATGACAGTTGGGCATTTTTAAAGCAATGTCCGAGATTGAGACTATCACTGGGTTGTAAGATTGCTGGAACAGATTCCGCTCCCCGAGTTAGTCATACTGAGCTGATACACGATCTTTCGGTATAGGATACCATTATGTTTATTTATTAACATCCACACGTAGCTGTCACAAAAAGCGTCGACTAAGTAAAGACATGAGATGCTACAGCCGAATTATGCTTGAAAAAGTCAAATTCAGAGCCAATGGCTGAAGAAGATCATTCGGCAATTTGCTCAGAACGTGTGGTTTATTCGGTGTATAAAGTGTATATTTCCCCATCGTCGTCTCCTTTCGCGACAGCCGCCTTTTTCAGACCCAAGTTCCAAGGCCTCACTAAAGTGCGAAGCAGGGAAACGTCAGCATAGATATTCAAACAGACTTCTAGCACTGTATATATTTTTGACTTACTTTTACGACCAGTGATTGACTTCCACTCATTTAAGCCTCTTTCAAGAACTACGACCTTCTGCTGCCTCATGGGCCTCTTTTGTGCCGCGAGGTTTGCCCGAAGCTTGAGGTAAGATGTCATGGCGGCCGGTGAGCGTGCATGAGCGTAGGAGCAGTAAAAGACGACCATGTCGGCCGCTAGCAAACTTCCCAAAGACTTAGGATTATTTTTCCATAGCTGCTGAAAGATGTCGCGGGCCGCCAATGCACTTTCCGTATGGATGTGAAAAGCACCGGGAACCTGTACGCCCACATTATCTGCGCGTTATTAGCCAATGGATAGATAAATGAAGACTGAAGATCAAAGTTTGGTGCTTTGAGCTGGATCGGTATGATGAGGCCTTTGGATACGTACCGGAAGCATTTTGACAGTCCACAAACACAATTGTTCCATCTGGCTTACTATTCAAGAAGTTTTCGAGGTCGGCGGCTTGTGTGACATCCACTTCCCATGTGAAGAACCCATTGGTCTTCCTGACCTTTTCAACCGTCAAATCATCGATTTCCATTTTGGCGGCTCGTTGATTCTTGATAGATAGCTGAGGATGATTTGGCATTAGGAGAAGTTGTGTAAGCAGCTGGATTTGCTTTGCGTTTTATACTACTGGTTTCAAATCGTCACGAACCATGTACCGGAGTCACATCCATGCCCGCAAAATAATAAGGCCCCCTTACAGATGCCAGGAAAGCTGAAAGCTGAAAGCTAAAAGCATAAGAAAAGAACTATGGGGCCGAGGCTAGTTGATTTGGAATATACAAACCCAGCCCCAGCTGCACTTTCATAGCAGGGTCCCTCTCGAGTCTAACCCGGTCTAGACCCCTGATTGTGTTCGAAGCACTTCTTCCTTTTCTCCCTAACATTTCTTGGAAGCTACGTTCCACATGTGTCATCACCCATATATCGTAGAAGTGTTCAAGCTGTTGATTCGGTTGGTGCTATCTCGGAATAATCGACCAATACGGCATGGCCAATATTGCACCCTCAGTGGCGTTTGACCAGCTATGCTTCAAGTGAAGATTGTACTCAATGATCTAGCTTCAGGTGCATGGCTTCAGATGCATGGAGAGCCGGTTTGACGAACCACAATGAGCCCAAGAGACCAAATGATGCCACATTCTGTCGAAAATCTAGAACAAGTGTATATCACTCCACGTAACAAGCATGTCTAGATAATGTTCTTCTCATTACGCCACTGCACCACATCGCGTAACCTCCACATCGGTTCAAGCAGCAGCTCAACCACGATTCCTTCAGCCAGCAGTTCCTCACATTGAACGAATGTCAGACTCTGCCCATCTCTATATCCATGCCTGTCGAGGACCTCATAGATACGCTTCATCAAGCTCTCGGATCGCGTCATGATGGCATTCACATCAGCCCGCAGCGTATCTGCAGATTCAGAGGCAATTGAACTGCCTGCCCAGGCCCTCATTTCCTTTTCGTCGTCACCCGCGGCGCTGAATCGCTTCCAATTCATGTCATCAAGCGTGTCGTACCCAAGCAGTCTGACCTGGCGACCTGCACTGAACTTGCGAAAATCTTTTTCCCAGTGCTTGCTCGCCGAAATGAGGAGCGCAGTCACTTTCGCAGTCACATCGATGTTGTCCTTCTGTTCTCGCGAGTGTCCCGAAGCGCTCATCAGGATTCCCGTGTCCCCTCCTAACCGGTATCCAGCGAGGTAGTAGTCTCCGTACCTCTCGCAGAAACCCTCATAGCCTCGACCATACTTGATCTCTATGATGGCTTCCTTTGTCAGGCGTGGCTGCCTCTGGAACTCGATAGTTCCGGCTCGGCAGTTGGCATTTAGGGACATCTTATCAGACTGGGGAATAACAAACGGTAAGTATTTCATGGGATAGTTTCGACGCAAGTGAAGCGAAGTAAACTCACGTCTTTATTTTCCTGGATATGCTGATCGAATGTCCCCTTTACACTCACGGAAGCAACAAAGGGTACTCCGACACCGATGCCAAATCCAAGACTCAGGTGATCGCCCGTTTCGCTCTCTTTTCTCGTCTCAACCTTCTTGAAAGTACATGTTGTTCCATACTCGGCGTGCAGCTCCTTTGGAATCATATGTATGTCGGAAAGCACAAAGGGCGTCTCCTTTGACCATGGATCTCCTGTAGACTGCAGCCTCGAGTGAAAGGTAGTCCCGAGGCGGATGGGGCTGCGACCCCACGGTAGAACTAGCAGGAGCCGCTGCCGGGCCTGTTGAGATATCTCATTTTCGTCAGGACCATCAGGCCTGGCCAAGTACTTGGCCTCTTCTGCAGCAGCGATCATAGTATTGCTTGTGTCGATGGAAACGGATGATAAATCTTATGGTGTTGATTCGGGATGGACTTTCATGACAGAAGACGGATACATGTCGTCGACGCAAGTTCTTCTACCAAGCCAATCAGGGTTACATGTGTCAGTGCTCTCACGACGTTCCGAAACCCCAGATTCGGGCGTTTTCCGACCCACGGCGTGGAGCCATGAGGACTCCGGCCCAGCTGAATACAAGGCACCCTTTCCATCGCCTTAAATGGCAATCATTGGCCACTATAGACCCAAAACCGACGCCAGCTGAATTACCCAATAGTTGGACCCACCGGCGGCCAGACCTTGGTGGCGTTAGCGTACGGCCCCTCCGCTGTACTGGCGCATGTCCGTGACAGGGGATTTACAGGTAGGTTACAGAATGCAGGCGTGCTGGCGTGGTCCCCTACAGCCAGCAGCCCTAGCACGCTGTTCCGGAGGGCGATGAGCATGCTGAAAAAAGGTAAACTTCAGACTTCGGATGGGTCCAAGGGTTGGCAAGCAATCAACAAGCTCGCGCAGATTGCCCTTGAGCACAGTCTTGCCCAATACTAGTGCCCGCAACGGTCCGGTCCAGCCAGCCACGAGCAAAGCCTTGGCAGCCAGCTCTGCAAGCCAGTCCAACCCTGCACAAAATTGGCAGCATACTAACTTATTACAGTCTAAGTAGGTATGGAAGGACCCCTATTGGAAATGCAGCTGAAAGACAAGTAGATCTAGACCCTGGAATGGAATATAATCGCAACACTTGACACGAGGAAAGCAAGACGACTATTGAGACGCTATAGGACAACGTTGTGAGAGCGGCAAGTACGCGTTCCTGGTGCCCGCAGTCCACGTACAGCTTCTAGACCACTGGATCTATTGGGGGTCGCTGGAATCATGTGGCGTCACGGTATGCCTGGTGCCAATGAATGGCACGATTTCGGCAGATGGTCCGGTCAAGTTCAGGATCGCGCCTGTATACAGAAAGGTGTAGCATTTATTTAAAGGATGGGTGAATGCCCTCCCTGCCTTTCTGTCATTGAAACAGCACGGCGCGCAATCCCTTTCTCCCTGTCCCTTTGGCGTAGCGAATTGTATTACACTGTACTCAATTAGTTTGTCATTTTCAAAGCAAGCAAGGAAGAACACGACGTGAGGTTCCCTTTGCATATTACCGTCAAGATGGCTCTTCTTCTAGCTCCTTTCACGCATGCCATGCGACTTGGCCAAGGGTAACTAACGCCTCTCTTTCTCCATCTGTATTCGAAGCAGGTATCTAACTAAGCAATCCAGTTTCAACTCGTACACCCAGCAGATCTGTGTTGACGATGCAGTTGTCGTCGATGATCAGAGACCCGAGAACGTGGTCACCAATGATGGTACTACGATGCGAATTATGGCACAGAAGAATGCCATTCCAAGTGCCTGGACCAGACAGAAGGAGGTCATTGAGGCCAAGCCCGCTACGGTGGTACTCGAAGAGAATGCACGAAAAGCGAAAGCCGAGATTGCTTTCATTGAGAAAGCGCTCGCCGAGGAGGTTGATGCTGCCGGTGAAGGTAAGAAGTACAGAATTTGATACCGCGGAAGAAATTTTGCTTCATGTATCGTGCTGACAAAGGTTATTAGAACCCAGCGAAGGAGCCCAGGATGAGGCTCAATCTAAATCTGATGATAAGGCTATCGAGGACGAGCCAACTTCTGATGATCAGGACGCTGAGGTTGCTGAAGTTGAGGGCGAATCAGCATCTGTCGATGAGGTCGTCGATGCGAACGAGGCACGCGAGAAGGTTGGCAGCTCGTCAGCTACAAAGGAAGAGAGTATGTCCAAGCAACCAGTAACGCAAACCTCGACGAGATCGGGGACTGGGGCGGTACAGCAGCCCAAGGGTGACGACGACGATGTTCCTGACACGGAAGAGCAAGTGAAAAAGCCCGCAGCTGCACCAAAGAAGTTGGTCAAGCGAGCATCTTCGTCCGACCGAGGGCGTCAACAGTCTTCAAAGACTGCTGCCGTACCTCTTGACCGCGCTGCCATCAGAGCCTCCTTGACCGGCAAGTCTAAGCCAGACGCTGCCCAGGCCGCGAAAGCAGCGGCCGACCAAGCCCGACGTGAAAAGGAGGAGGCCGAGATACTCGCGGAGCAGCGCAAGTACCGGAAAGAAATTATGGTCCAGCAACGACAAGATGAAGCCGAACGTCGCAAGGAAGAAAGAGAAGAGGCTCGCTCGATTCGTGCCGAAAAGCGCGCCTGGGACACTAAGAGACGTGAAGATGCCCGCAAGGCGATCGAAAGTGCCGCCAACCTCAAGGCCACCAGCCTGGATGATCTGGAGAAGATTCGGGCTCAGAACCAATTCGTTGAACGCTTCAATGGCATGACGGAACAGACTCAGAAGTATGACTTTGACCCAACTGCACCCCGTGGACCCAGTCAAACCGTCACCTACAGCTCTCGCTTCGTTGATCGTCTTAGTGATGTTCTCGACGACATGAGCGTGTCTGGTTCCCTGTCCATCAAAGCAGGAAAAGTCGGCGGCTCCGGTAAAGGTTCATTTGTCGATTCCGACAAGTTCAAGGAGAGCGACTTGAACTTCTATATTTCTGTGAAGGTTGTCAACCAGACCATCAATTTCAAGGACGCTCTGGTGTTTAACCCTCTTCGCTCCGTCGACGAGAACAACTTCCGGGAGGTCTATGGCGATTCGTTCATTTCTGGATTCATCGAGGGCGGAGAGTTCAATGCTATTGTCAGCATGAAGATCCTTAACAAGGCCAAGAAGACCGACATTCAGGCCGAAGCCAAAGTCGCTTTGACCGCTGGTGCTGTCCAGGTTAAGGCGGAGGCCAACGTGGGCATTGCCCGTAGCAACATTGAGACAAACACTGAGACCACCATCCAAGTATTCTGGTCCGGCGGCGGACACATCAAGCCCATGGAGCAGCAGTGGGACGTGCAGAGTCTCATGGAGGCCGCAGCACGCTTTCCCGACCTCGTTGCCGACTGCCCGCAGCGTATTTACGCCATCCTGACAAAGTATGACTCCTTGAGGAGCTTTGTTGCCAGGAAGCCGGCCTCCTACACTCCGCTCCAGTACGAGAATGCGCAGATCTACACCAACACGCTGCTCGATGCCTTCGTCAGCTACAAGTCCTTGTACAAACGGCTCGGAGAGCAGATCTTTGGCGTACAAGGCAAAACTCTCGAGGTAATCCCGTGGAGCGACACCGAAAAACTCAAGGTCCTGCCCAAGTCGACGGCAGTGGCCAAGATGGGAACCAAGAACCCAGATACTGGTCTATTCCCCTATGTCGAGCTGGATTCGAACTTCGAGGCGTCCGTCAAGGGCCTGAGCGACGCCCGCGCCGCCATCCGCCGCCAGATGGCCCGAATTGTGAACGAGGTGGATGCCATCGAGAAAAACCCAAAGCTTGCCACGGATGAGGACCACGATGAGCCTTTCCAGTCGCCGTCGGCGTTCGAGGTTCGCGTCCCTCAAGTACAGGTACCGGAGAGATTGCGCGTGAAGAGTCATCCCTTGTCCGGCAGGAGAATTGCGGCCAAGCAGCTCTCCGAGAGTGAGCAAAAGGAGCAGCTGGCCGAGGAAGAAAGAGTGGCAGAGGGTGAGCCACTTTTCCTGGCTACTGATAAGCTCGAGGCGCTTGAGCAGGAGCAATTCGATGCCGCAGTCAACGAAAACCCTGGGCTCTGCGGAAAGTTTCGGGTTTCAAGCGCTGTTGGAGATACCTTGAGCGGAGATTGGTTCAACAATCTCGACTTCGTCAAACATGACTGGAAGATACGTTCCATTCGCACTGAAATACACAACGGCGCTCTTGGATACTTGGCAGTCGCCTACAACAACGGTCTTGTTGTTGAGAAAGGAATGGTAAGCAATGTTTAGACGTCTCAAGGGGGAGAGAGAGGCTATGGCGCTAACTCATGTAACAGTCTCGCGATAAGTCACGCATCAAGAAGTTGGATGGCTTCCTCCCCGGAGAGCGCATCAATGCAGCAGCGATAGAGTATGGTAAGGAGTTGAGCAAGGATTCAAAGCCAGAACAAATTCTTGGCCTTCGACTCCTCACTAACAGAGGCCGGTCACTGAATGCGCGTTCCTTGAAGACTGTGCCTGGCGAGAACGGCACAGTGGTGAAGGACGACGTCACCTATGAGAAAGTGCAGGTCCATTATTTGGATGGACCTTATAACCCAGGTACACTCAGAGGTTTCTTTGGAAGGAGTGACGATAACTCCGGCAAGATTCTGCGCTTGGGTCTTATCTGGGGCCGCGTCCCTGAGACGACGGAAGAAGAAGCCCAAGGCCAGTTTGTCGAGACAGCCGACGCCATCGACGGTGAGGACCTGGCATTACTCCAAAAGGAGCAAATTGCTCGCAACCAGACGCTGCAAGCGTTGCAGCAGAAGCTTGATGAGGCGCAAAAGGTATGTTCACTCCGTGGTCCCTGTTTACAAGCCCACACGTACTAATGATGCCATGAAAATCACTTAGAAAGTGAATGAGTTTGAGCAAAGTCGTGACCGCCAGGGCTTCGGAGGGGCGCAATCCGGGGCCTTTTTCGCTGCCGACAAGGGATGGCAACAAGGACAAAACAGTTCTTCAGTGGCTTTCGTCAAATTTCCGCAAGCTTATGCGTCGCCGCCAAAGCTGCTCTTTGGACTCAACAACTTCGATGTCAAACGTGACATGAACCGTGCCGTTTCTTTACTCTTTCCAGACATTCGTGGGGATGGATTCAATATTCAAATGATGTCCTCCAATGACTGTCTCGGATACGGTCTCGGCTGCAGTTGGATGACCCTTCCCAACGACCTTCACCTGGAGACAGGTATGCTGCACACCTATAACACAGGGCAGTCTTCTTTCAGAGATTATACTCGGCACGTCTTCTTCAGTCAGAGTTTCTCCACGCCCCCCAAGGTTCTCTGCTGGTTCCAGGAGTTCGGAGTCAACAATAGGGAATTTATGTCCTTGCGGGTTTATCCCTATGCCATAAACAACAACTCGTTCCACATCAAGATCGATTCTTGGGCCAACAGAGAATTCACCAACGCCCGTGTGCAGTTCTTGGCGTATCCAAGCGAGGAGCATGGCAAGAGGGTCAAGTCGGGCACGAGCGTCATCACCCGCGAGCAGCCGAAACAGCAAAACAGAGCTCCCTTTCACGGCGAGCCCTTCAAGAACACACCAAGCACTTTTATTGCAGTACACCACATGGACTTTGGTTGTGACAAGAATAACCGCTTCATCAGCTCGATCAATGCTCCAAACAACAGAGAGCTTGAGTGGGGTTTGAACACCTGGGGCGACACGAATATGCAGCAAGCCGAAGCCACTTGGATCGCAATTGAATGAGGAAATTGTTAAACAGGAGACTTGTGACAAATTTCGAAGCCGAGTGGGTTTCTTTGGATGTCCTCCCTGAGCGCACATGGAAGCAAGGCGTCTCAATGTGAGATGTAGATTTGCAATTGGATCTTCGGCCAGGAGAGGATATCAAACGACGAACCATGTCGATAAGAGCACCACTTTAAAAGTTAAAAAGAAAAATCTTATGACTGGTCTTTATCAGCTCTTCATCGTCACTGGTGGTATGCTTGTATGCATGCATGACCGACGGGTCAGTGCCGGCTTGCTGTCTGGCATTCTAATGTTTTGCTATGCAGGCCATACTGAACATTTCCCTCCTCCCATCTAATCTAATAAGGATTCCGAATTACTTTGCATACTGTCGTGAATTAGCTTATAAATAAGAGTTTCGGGAATTGGAAAAATAATGCTGAGTATCACGGGGTAATTAGCTGAACCGGATGTGGGATCTTTGAACGCTATAATCTACGTACATTCGCTTCACAGCAACACCGCCAAACTCTTTGCGGCGGCAGAAGCACCATTGCGATATTACCATGAGCCTAGGGCTATCTTGTACACGACTCCCAAAGTCCAGACTTAACAAATCGAAGGCCTCAATTTCCAGCAGGGTAGACAAGTCGCACTGGCAATAAGCCTACGATAGCTTTATGCCACAGAAAGTATTTCACTGATGGCACGATCGTCATAACGGAGTACGATCTTGCATGCCATCTTCAGCACGCTTATCGCGCAGCTCATGCATATAGTATAGTGGTCTTCGAAGGCCAAAGAATATCTGCCGAACCCCACCTGGTTGAAACTTAATCGAAGTAAAGATTGAGCAAGTCTTATGCTAGTAAGCAGGCGGGACTTTCCGTTTGCGTCGGGGAAAGACGTTTGTTGACTCAATTGGATGAACGGACTGATGTTTAATGTAGTCCCTAAGTCGTATTGAGTACACTGGTCCGTATGGCATATTCCTTGGTTGTAAGAACCACTGCTCAGAAGTTCCCCATACCGGTGTCTATGAGGCCTCCCTCACTGCAGTACTCGAATGAAGAGGATGGAAGTTCTATGAGCACAAATGAAATACACATAGTTCTAGGGGTACCGCTGGGTTCCATATAGACTATCAAGATAAACACTATAATGCAGCCAAATCGACTAGCTTCGCAAGGGCGTTTCTTCAACAATGGATCTTGGGATCAGAATTGCGACCGCCATCCTGACCGATGATCGAGCAAATGCGCTAGGGAACCGAAAATATACAAGTCGTCTGCGATGGATTCATCAAGAACGGGGACGCCGGATGGCAACATAAGTTCGTATCCTTGAGCAGATTTAGAACATATATCCTGAAGACAATTTGGTTGATGAAAACGCGAGTCATTGAAACAGGGAGTATGGCGCATGTCGTAACACTAATAGACAGGGTTACTGATCCTAGAGTTCTGGTTACTGGGTTAGACCGAGTTGATTTAACTTATGGATGGCCTTTCGAATACAAAAAGAGCTCAAAGTAGTAACCCTTTCCGTGCGCTAAATAACAACGATGATAATATTGTGGTTCTTTGTTTCCACTTATTGTAGGAGAAAAACTAAATAGATACTCCAGAGGAATCAAAGACAGTATCTATCTATCGCTGCCGCGAAGATAGCTATTCAATAACACAAATCGTTTTGTCAAAACGTGATTTCCAATCGTGAAGTAAAACCATCTCCGCCTCAATGCTTGAGTCCAATATCCCGATTCGTTCCAAAGTTGTATTGCCAGTATCTTGTAATATCAGGCACTGACGCGTATGAAGTGGGATCGCCATGTATTTGGTGATGTGAGTGAGACTGTACTCTATGGCGTCCATATGATAACAGCAGATTTTTTGACCGAGCCGGGCATCATTTCGCGCGATGTTTGTGACACCAACCATAGAGTGTGTGGCTTCAGCTCCACAGTCCAGGTCAAAAACGTGCCTTTTCGAATGCAGAATAACCTCGACTATAACACATTCTTACGTTAACTAATCGCCCTCCAGGGACACGCCCAAATGGTAAGTGGGGCATTAAGCAAACATACATTGGCGGGAGGATCAAACGCCCGCAGACCGAAGGACCGAAGAACTGGTGGCCTTAGCTCCGGCTTTCCAGGTGTGGGTCTTGGAGTCTACGGTGCCTGTCCCTTTGGATCAGTTTAGAGTACCAATAGCAAGGGGTTGGTCTGACCGATGAGGGTCTTATGACCGTATTCCGCTGCGCTGGTGATTGCTTGTACAAATGGGTCCCTTTCAAGGAACAATGAGCTTTGAAAAGAATACGCAAGTGAACACGGTACGTGATTATTTCCAGGACGCTGGGCTTGTGCTTCAAGGTTAGAATTGAAGCTTATATTATATAATTGGGTTCTGTTGTGCATTCCTTCGAACGACCTCCAAACGTCTTCTCAGCATTATTTACCTTCTGGGTGCAGTACTACGACCATCTTAAACCAATGCTATATGTTTTATAGAGGCTCGGGATCCATCCATCAACGTCGCTGTGCTGCTTTTTCGTTGCAATGGTCATATCCTGGCAGTTAATGTATGCATAAGTCGATCTGGTTTTCAAAAGAGATCCATTTAGTTTAACGTATACAGTCCGATATAAGTCTAACGGATGCAGTAAAATTGCATTTCAAATTAAAAGTGCTAGTGACACATGATAAGGTAACCAAATCTGGCTTTTTCTTCTCGTCTTTTTTTTCTTCTCGTTTTTTAATACGGAATATTTAAATTTAGCGTTTACGTATAACATAGGCTAATAATACGTGGTGCAGTTCCATGATGATGCTAGGGAGGTGTTACCCTGCCCAACGTAGGTGGCATGGGAAGGGTACGGGCAAAGCGGACGTTGAATGGCAACTCCATCATCGGGAATGTCATTGTTCCAACGTGTGGCAATGATACTGTCCGGAGCAGTACCGTTCTCGACCCAGGCCATGATGGCCAGGACGACATCGTGCTGTGCATCTTCGAACCCTGGGACACCGTGAACCGTGCTGTCGGAGAGAGCACCGTTTTGCCCGTCTCCCGAAAAGTACCAGGGCGCGTCGGTCGAGGTCATTTCACAATGCTGCATGTCTGGGACCAAGAAGAAACGGTAAAAGTCGTCTAGGTTGATGCCTTGGGGATTGAGCGTGGATTGTACCTGGTCATAAAAGTAGAGAGACGAGGTTGCAGGGATGCTCGGGTCGGCAAGACCGTGGTAGTGAATGAGCTTGCCGCCTCGCTCGTAGAATGGGCTGAGGTCAAAGTCATCCGCGGTGGCATTACCAGGATTCAAACGGTGGGAAAGGGCAATAATGTCGTCATTCCAGTCCTCAACTGTCCAGTCGCCACCAATTTGAAGCATATATTGAATATACGTCACAAAGTCGTCACTAGGGCCATTCGAGGACCAGCCGCTCTCAGTGCCCAGGGTCCAGCCGGGAAAGACCAGAGTGTCATTGACAGTCTTCCAGTCATCGTGGAGCTTGTTGACCGTGTGAATCTGGTCGATGTTGAGACAAGTAGAGTTGTCAAGACCAGCCGAGCCTCCACACAGCAATGTCTCGGGACGGAAAAGACATCTCAATGGGTCTTGGAGAATTCCATCGACGACACCATCCTGAGGATCGCATTGAGAAATCACCTCGGCCGCTACGGCCTCGAGACGTGCAGAGTCAAGATATCCGGGGGCGGTGGTGTCGTAATTCCACAAGGTGTTGACGACCACGTAGAGCTGTAGGCGCTTGAACCACCAGGCAGGTGCACCGGCAATCACGCCGTCAAAATCTTCGGGAAACATTTCGAGCTCCTTGAGTCCTTGCTTTCCGCCAGCAGAGCAGCCGCGGTAGTAGCTGTATGTTGCGTTCTGCCCGTAGTATCCTGCCGTGACTGCTTTTCCGTTGACGGTGGCATCGTGCAAAGCCCGCCATCCAAAGTTTGCCAGTGCATCCGTCTGGTTGGGGTAGGCAAAGGAGCCATTGTTGCCCTCGTGGCCGAGGTCCGAGGAGATGGCGGCGAACCCGTACCATGATGCATCAATGATGGAGGACCAGCCAACGGACCCAGCAAACTCGCCATTTCCAACAGTCATGAATCTACCATTCCACTCGTCGGGGAGGATCAATCCAGTACTATGTTGCGTATTGCCGGGAAGAGTGATGTTGGCCTGAATCACACAAGCGGCCTTGGGAAGGATGTAACTTGTTGTTGGGTGCGGCGAAGTCAAGGCGCCATAGTTGAGGTCTGCTGGGAACGTGAAATTCGACGAGGCGTTGTAATGATCGGCAAAAAAGACTGTGCTGTTCAAGGGCAAAAAGGATGTGATTGTGCCGACATCGCAGCTATAAGCTGCCGCACTAGCTGCAAGAGCTGACAATGCGAGAAGTGAACGAGTCATGATTACCTGCTCAGCAAGGCCAACTAAAGATAATGAATTGACAGGCAAGCTGGAATGAACACTGTGTTGGTGCCAAGCATAGAGTGCAATTATAGAAAGTCAAACAGTTGTTATAATGATGCCGTCTTTATAAGCCTGGAACACAATAGGAATATTCCATAAAGGCTCGGTGCTAAAAGTAGAGATATAATAAGTTGTCAAGCATTCCCCACATCCACGTGCATCATTATTAAAAGTCTCAGGCTCTTTTAACTCCGACGACTTCATCTCCGAGCTTCTTTCCCGGGACTTGCAAGAGTTTTCAAGGCTGTCGCTTCAAACAAGTTGAACATTTTCTCTAATGTGGTGAATTTGAAACAAAAGGACTAGAAAGAATGCGCGCGCATAATGATTTTGACGAGAGTACAGAACCATTACCGCAGTAGCACCGGTATTCTAAGAGAGTGCCAAATTACTAAGGTTAGGCATTTATTTCCGTACGGTCTAAACCTTATCACTCATATTGCAGGGGCTGGTAATACCGATAACATATAAAGTTGTTTCTCTCAGGCAGGATGCGCACCCCCCAATTCCTGCTGGACAGCCCCCCAAGGCACTTTTACATACAAAAAAAGTCCGTGCACGAATTTAGCACTCCACTATTTCCAGCGCGCTACACCAATTTTAAATATAAAGATACATTATATCAAAATAGCTTCAAATTGCGATATAAAATCAAATAAAATAGAAAAAAATGCACAGATATGTTAGGATTAGTTATTAGGGTTAGTTAGTAGTAGTTAGGGTTTTTAGTGTTAGCCGGGAGTCCGAGAGGCGGTGTGAGCCCTTCGCTATCTGGTATATGGTAATTTGTTTATATGCAAGTGTACAAGTGCCCTGGGGGGCTGTCCAGCAGGA